GACTTTTTTTAAAAATCGTGTGCTACTTTCGATTCTTCCCTTGTGTATTTTTATATGTGAAGTAGAGAACAGAGTGGATAAGATGCCCCTGTGAGATACGTTACTGACATTTTCTTTTACTTACTTTTAGTTTGGTCAATACAATACGAAAGCTTTTTCGTTCCCTCAACGGTCTCCCGGGTTCCGGCACCAATCAATGTGGCGACTGACTACTGATCCTGAATAAAACACTGTTTTCTGGTTTCACATTTATTTAATAAACATGATAAACAAGCACATAAACATTCAACGATCTACCTTTCTATCTTCTGCTCAACTAACTTCCTATTTTCTCAACAACACAAAAGATAAACAAACGGACAAAAACGGAAACGGACTAAAAAATACACCTTAAACTCTGACCTGACAAAAACGGACACATAAATAATTACACTTATGACATACAATAACAATGTCAGAAAATCATAATAAAATAGAAATGAATAGGAAATTAAACATTGTTAATGTTAACACATTCACAACACCAACATAACAACAAAAACCTTTCCCAGGGATCATGAAAAGAATGTGGAAGAGGCATCCTTCTTCATGACAACTATGAAATTCATCAGCTTCGTACCTTAAAGTATAGGAGAGGATTATAAACTTAATGATAAAGGTGATTAATTCAACTTTTCCATCGTCAACTACACTTAAATGTAATCATGTAGCGATTCATCATTTTATCATGCTTATGGAATATACGTTTCCCAATTCATTTTAAACGAAAAAAAGCACGATCTACATAAAAATATTTTTTTAAAATAAGGCAAGTTGTTGACAAAAAAGTTGATGAAGCAAGAAATAAAACAGTCTCATCTGAAGTAAACATTTGGTATGTTCTGTTGAAGAGGTCCACAATGATCCTCTCAACAAACAGTCTGTCATTAAGACGATTGTTGGCTAACTTTTTTCAATAAAAATTTTAAGATATTTTGCCTACAGATTTGTATCATCAGCTACTTTTTTCATTATACATTTCCACTTCAAGTATTATCGTTAATTAGAGAATATACAAACGGAAATGTTTTGCATAAGTGTCCTCATATTGGCTTGATGTTATGATTTTCGCTTTACATTATTTGAGTATTGTACGTTTATTTATTTTTTCCTTCTATATTTTGTATTATTCGATTTATATTTTTCCTTTATCAATATCAACGTTTTTTTCATTCCAACCTCACAAACAGTTAAGGTTTTGTGGTCGATCTGTCCATCTCTTCCTTGAATTATTTTAAACTCAGTAGTAGAGTTGATGCACACATTTCAGCTATAATAAAACAAACTGGGCATCAAATTGTTTGATAATTTTTATAGTTGTACCCAGCTTTTTATACGATATAACTTAGCCACCATTACTGAAAGATATTGCAAGTGAACTTAAAGACAAAACTTGTCTACTTACAACAAATGTCCCCATTAAAAAGAAAAACAAAAAATCTAATAAGTCATAAAATTTACTTTTATTCCAGAAAATGTTCTTCCTTTTAAAATATAGTTTTCTTCTACAAGGTTTTAATCGTTGTATTTTTCTCTCAGGGTTCTCTTCACCAGGCAGCTTTTCCTGCATCCTATACATGAAATAAAAATAATGGGAAAAGTTTATTAAACATATCTCATAAATATATTAGAATAAAATTCAATATGAGTTGACATGTAAAGAAAGGAGGTTTGCATTATCCATATTTCTAAGCTTTTTAGAAATCTTTCAAAGAAAAAATATTTGTAAAAAACAAAAAGATACCAATGTGATTTAATAATTTAAACAGTAATAATTCAACACATATACAACTCTTTCCATACAAGGTGAGAAACAAAAAAATTGCCATACCTTAAAAAAGTCAATTCCAAAGAAGAATAGTTTTCTTGGCCCAAACAGGCTATCATCATCGTCACCATTATCATCATCATCATCATCATCGTTGCCATAACTATCATCATCGTTACATTGAAAAGCAAAAAAAAAAAGATGATAAAAAAAAATTCAAAATCTAATATTGTAAAAAGAGTATAGTGCATGTTATATAATTTTATATAATAAAATACTAGCATATGTTACAAATATTACATTTGAACAATACATGTTTTAATTACATTATGTAAATACCTTAAACGCTATCTTCTGACCCTTGTTGACTTCTAGTTCCATTGCTTCTAGTTTAGGTATATCATTGCAGTCGTGTTCATCCAGCAAAGATGTTATTTTCTTATCCTTAGTTTTATCACCGACTTTGTCTTTTTCATTTTCTTTATCCACCACTTTATCCTCACTGTCTTCTTTGAAACCAATTTTATTTTCCCCATCTCCTTTGTCTACATTTTTATCCTTTCTTTCTGCAGTCTAAAAATGAAAAAAGGTCAATTTACCTTTTGTTTAAATATTTAATAATAATCTAAGTGTAATATATATTATTGGTTCTAACACCATTTTTAGTAAATTACTGGAAGTTCAAACAAGTAAATCACTGCTTTTCAATGAAGAATAAATCATTTTACTCTACTTTCTTCATGTTTTCTTTTTCAATGGAGGCCTTTGCCAACTCCCTTTCTTTGCGTTTCCTTATGAAAGCAGATAGTTTTCTGTAATAAATTGAGAGTTGCAAGCTTGATTATTCACATAAAAAAATCACAAGCTTGAAGCCATCACATCCCATTCAATTTAGTCCATATTTTCCTGTTCAAATATTTTAAAACTGATTAAATAGTAGCTTTACGACTACATATCTTATAATTTATCCTAACATTTTAAAAGTATAACATTTAATAAAAAAAAAATTCTACCCTAAACTATATTTATATATTTTTCAAGGTGAAAAAACTAACAAAAAAAATGGAGACTTACCCTCTAGGAGACTTTGCAATTGCCTGTTTTTTTCCATCTTTTCCAACCACTTTTTCATTGCCTTCTTCTTTGCCACCAATTTTATTTTCCCTGACTTCTTTCTCAACCACTTTATTAATTCTTTTTGCAGTCTAAAAAATAAAAAGGTCAATTTACTTTTCATTTACATTACATATTCAATAATAATCTAATTGTTATATATATTATTGCTCTTTTAAGGAAAACACCATTTTCAGTAAATTATTGGAAGTTCAAATGAGTGCTGTTCAAGATAGAATCATTTTACCTCCTCTTTCTTAATGTTTTCTTTTTCAACTGAGGCCTTTGCTTGTTCCATTTCTCGCTTTCTTATATAAGCTTTTAGCTTCCTGTAATAAATTAATTAAGTGAAATAAGTTTGGAAGCTTTAATCATAAAGAAATCATAAGAGCGAATCACAGGAGCCCCCCCCCCCTTTATGATTTAACATATTTACCTAAATCAAACAATAGCTTACTTTAAAAAGTTTTATGAGTATGACTATTTAATAACTTATCCAAACATTCTGAAACTATAAAATTTAAATTCAAAAATTCCCATATAATTTTTTACAGGTGAAATAAGGATGGACTTACGCTCTAGGAGACCTTGCAATTGCCTGGTTTTTTTCTCCAATGATATTATCCTTGATTTTATTTTCCGCCATTTGAACTCTCTCTTTTGCTGCTCTTGTCTCCTACAAAAATAAAATAGTAATTGGGATGACAGAATTGCCACACTATTAACTCTATCACTTGGAAGTGTACGTTAAATTTGTTTTTAATATCAAAAAGCCAGAAAGTAACTGTTTGTTGTTATAAAGAGAAGTATTTATTTGGATTTCGAATCATTCTGCAGAATTTGCACCTGAATTTTGGCCTTTTCCTCTTCTTCAACTTGATCTGCCCTTTGATTATCAAATTTGAGAATCTGGAGCTTTGTTTCCTGTAAATAGAAAAACTAAATATGAATCTGCATCTAAATACATCATAAACACAAGAGACCCACGGGCCTTTTAGGTCACCTGAGCAGTGAAGAAGATTTTCAAACAATAAATGCATTTTCACAATATAATCAATAGAGCCGCGCCCTAACACCAGAACCCCTGACCCTGGGGTCATAAAATTCACAAATTTGAAATAGGCACTCTTGCTCATCATGACTATGTGCTTAGTTAGTTTATTTAATACCCAGGAGCAAAGAAGATGATTTTCAAAAAATAAATGCATTTTCACTATATAATCAATAGAGCCACGCCCTAACACCAGAACCCCTGGTCCTGGGGCCATAAAATTCACAATTTTGGAAGAGGCACTCTTGCTCATTATAACTATGTACTTAGTTACATATGTAGTTTATTTAATACCTAGGAGCAGAGAAGATTTTTAAAGAAATAATGCATTTTCACTATATAATCTATATAGCCCCGCCCTAGCACTACAACCCCTGACCCTGGGGCCATGAATTTCACAATTTTGGTAGAGGACTCAATGCTCAATACATTCATGCCAACAGTTTGCCTGCTTGATGTCCAGGAGTAAAGAAAAAGATTTATAAAGATTGCAATACTTTTATTGGTTTTGGCCCCACCCCCCAGGCCCCAGGGGGACATGCAGGGAAAATGAAATTCACAATTTATGTTCCCCTTTACCCATAGATGTTGTACACCAAATTTGGTTGAAATTGGTTCAGTGGTTTCAGAGAATGAAAAATTCTCGAGAGGGACGTTAAACAACATACAATCAATCAATCATTCAGTCAATCATTATAGAATATGAACTCCTGCATGATGGATATATAATTTGGCAAAGATTTACCGTACAAAAACTATATTTATACATTTGTGCAACATTTTCTGTTCACCATTTGAGGTTATAAAGGTGAATTATAAAGGCATGTACTTACCCAATTTTTAACCGTCTCCTGTCCAAAGTCTAGAGGTGCTGTAAATCTGCAAAATATCAATGAATGCAATATTTTTCACATTTTTTATTTTTGTAAATACCATCATTCATTGATAGGCAGAATATATTATACTAGTAGTTATTCAGGTACTACATGTACTAGTATATAGAAATTTTTGAACCAGTGCTTGTATTACCTGTTGTCATTTGCATTGCCATCTTTCTTCTCTTCTGCAATTTCTTTCTCCAACTTTTTCTTCATCTCTCTTTTCTGCTGTTGTTCTTCCTACCAGATAAAAAATTCAGGTTTATTATAAAACATCAAGTTAATGTATACATATACAGATGTTTGAAATTGAAACCTTTGTCATGTCTAGTAATCCCTTGACATTGTCACTAAATTATAATAAAACTCCTGATAATTTGTTGAAAAGTTAGAATAGAGAAACTTGAAACCACTTAAAATCACTTATTAAATAAGGTACATGTACTAATACACTTTTAGTGTAGATATTTTCATTTTATATATATTTAACTTATACTCAGATAATTTCTATTATTCAACTTATACAAGGATAATTTATAATATACAACTGCATGTTCAACAATGATAAATTGTATGACATGTATATATGTTTAACATGTTTAACTTATACACGTAAAGATAATTTCTGTTGTGTGTTTAACTTATACAAAGATAATTTCTAATATATAACATAAATAATTTCCATTATATAACTTATATATAGAAAATTTCTATTATATAACTTATATATAGATAATTTCTATATGATTATCTTATACATATATAATTTCTACGTCTGTACAGTTGTATATAACTTATACATTGATAATTTCTATTCTGTAACTTAAACATAGATAATTTCTATCATATAACTTATACATAGATAATTTCTATAATATAACATACATAGATAATTTCTATAATATAAATTATACATATATAATTTCTATATGATTATCTTATACATATATAATTTCTATGTCTGTATATAACTTATACATTGATAATTTCTATTCTGTAACTTAAACATAGATAATTTTTATTATATAACTTATACATAGATAATTTCTATTATATAACTTATACATAGATAATTTCTATTCTGTACCTCTATACGTCTCTCTTCCTCCTCCACAGCATCAACCCACGAATAATCAAACTTTAATATCTTTAGTTTTGTGTCCTGAAAATATTCATTTGATCAGCAAGTTAATTTTTTGAGAAAATGAATTCATTAAGAGATTAAATAAGATTTTGATTACTTTTGTTTTTTGTGAATGAATTTGAAATTTTTGCCATATAGATCCATCCAAACAGATAATGTTCACCCCCCCCCCCCTCAAAAAATATGAATCACTTCCCAAAGTGAATTGTCTTTGGCATTTCATAGAAAATAAATTTCTGTGAAAAAATCTTTGGGAGGGGCGTCCAGGTTATTGAACAATTCATCACTTAAATAAAATTACATATTCACTATCACATGTATTTAGTATTGGATTTTTTTTTTATTTCCCAATTAGAGGACATTGATCTTATGGTTAAATAATGTAAACAAGTAAACTTACCACATCTGTGACGGGGTGGTCTCCGAAATCCAAAATTGCACTGTAGTCCATGATTTTTATTCTACGAAAAGGAGAAATATATATAGCATAAGAATAAGTAATTTTCTTACACCTATTTGAAACAGAATGTACTAATAATATATTTGACACATTTTTATTTCTTGTAAATACCACAACACATTGATATACAAAATATATTTTACTAGTATTTACTCATGTACTTCTGGACCAGAGCGTGTATTACCATACCTGTTGCCATTTGCGTTGCCATCTTTCTTCTCTTCTGAAATTTCTTTCTCCAACTTTTTCTTCATCTGTCTTTTCTGTTGTTGTTCTTTCTACCAGATAAAACAAATCAGGTTTGTATGAACACCAAAATCTCAGAAATGTATGCATATATAGATGTCTGAAGTGTAATCATGAGCCATTTTTTTTCTTATCAAAAATTTTAAGAACCAATGTCGAAAAATTATAATAAAACTCCTGTTAATTTGTTGAAAAAGTTAGAATGGAGAACTTTTTTTATATAGATAATTTCTGAGAAGGCCTTCGGCCTTCACAGGATTTGATCATGTGACCGACCCACTTCAATTACCATTGATTTTTTTTTTTTAAACTTGTTATTTATATCTTAAATATATGATTCATACATAGATAATTTCTATTCTATAACTTATACGTAGATATTATCTATTATATAACTTAATTATAGATAATTTCTATTCTGTAACTTATACATAGATAATTTCTATTCTGTAACTTATACATAGATAATTTCTATTCTGTACCTCTGTACGTCTCTCTTCCTCCTCCACAGCATCAACCCATGAATAATTAAACTTTAGGATCTTTAGTTTTGTGTCCTGAAAACATTCATTTGAACAACAGGTTAATTTTTTGAGAAATTGAATGCATTAAAAAGATTGATGAGGATATTCTGTTATTATTTTCTTGTCAAGAAATTTGAAATTTTTGCTTTATAGATCCATCCAAACAGATAATATTCGCCCCCCCCCCCCCATAAATAAATTTCCGTGAAATTTCTTGGGTTGGTGGAATTGTTTATTTCTTTAACTTTTGAAAATAGAAAATAAATGACACTGAAAAATCATGGGAAGGAGTGCCCGGGTTATTGACCAATTCATCACTAAAATAAATCACTCAAATAAAATTACATATTTACTGTTACATGTATTTAGGATTAGATTTTCTGTGTCAAGGATTTTTTTTGTAGATCCATCCAAACCGACAATACCCCCCCCAAAAAAAACTTTCCTGAGTCAATTTTTTCGGGGGGGTAATTCTTTACTTTAGAAATTTAATAATTCTAAAAATATAATGGGGGATAAGGATTTCTTGACCTATTCACCATTTCCAAAATTTATTTCCATGATTTTTATTAGAGGAAATATACATACGATATTGGTACCTCATTTTTAAACATTGTAAACAAAATGTAAAAAACATTGATTTACATATCTTGTGACGGGGTTGTCTTCACTTTTTGTTGAAATCCAAAATTGAGGTCTTGTTACATGTAGTCCATGATTTGTATATTTTTTTTTTACATAAAAGGAGAAATATATATATCCATAAGAATAAGTAACTTTTTTCAAATATATACACATATTTAGCACCCCCCCCCCCCACACACACACATGTAACTTTCAATGATATGCATTGATCTGTGGTCAAAAATATCTTGTTAATTAGTTTATTTACCTGGTTTTCGAGGAGTTGTTTTGCCTCTCTTCTTCACTTTTTGTTGTTTCATTTAAATTTAGTGATGATTGTTAGCGTCACACTTATTTAAAATTGTTACGTTTTAATTTTTAAAAGGTTGAAAAGTGGACATTGTAGCATTGATGACGCCACACAGTATCCTTTTTGTGAAATTTTGAATATTTTTTTTTATACATTTTATACCCATGGTTAGAAGTTTCAAAATTTCTGTGTTTTTTTTCCTTGTATTTTGAGTTTCCTAAAACAAAGGACAAGATGGGTCATCCACTTCTTTGCCTACATATGAACCCTGTTGTCATCTCTGTCACAAAAGGAGTATTGGTTTTAAGTTTTGGAATACACAGAAGTCACCCCCCCCGATTTTACAGCACATTTTTTTTGCAAATATATACTAATTTATATAATATAGGCAGATGAAAGTTTATTTTTAAAAACGGTGTGGTCAAAAACGTAAATACCTTAACATCACATCACATGGTTAGTTAGACTAACTCACTCAGTCGGCTTATTATAGCCTGGTTTTCGAGGACTTACTGTTTAAAAACTTCAAATATGAAAAATGATCAGCAACTGCCTTTCTTTAGCAAAATTGTTCAAAAAAGATTTGTTTCTATTGGTACTGTTATCATTGTCAGATTTGACGTATATTAACGGCGCTATTTGCTGGAACCCAAATGAAAACACAAAACCCAAATGGAAATTAAATGGAACATTAAATATGTATTATCGTGTTTTAATACTTATCTAAAATGATGAAAATAAATGAACTTACAGTTACAAATGGATTTTTTAAATATTATTTATCTCTAATATTGTTTTTGAAACATGAAGTTTAAACTTAGGCTCACTTTAATCATAAAACAAAACAAATCTACAGTTTTTGCTTGTCAAAAACGCTTTCCTCTGCACCCCCACCCTCAATTAAAATTACTTCATACGGGAAGTTTGAATGTTTAAAAAGTAGGAAAGAATAAGGATATTCCCACAGGTGGGGATATTCACATAGCATTAACTCTACAGGGGGGGGGGGGCATGATGAATATAATATTGGCGAGGGCTTTGATGTGTTAAATAGATAGAAAATTTTAATATACTTATTCAATGAACATTTTATACTCATGCTTAGAATTTTCAAAATTTCTGTGTTATTTTCCCTTGTATTTTGAGTTGAACAGGCTTCCTAAAACAAATTTGATGGAAAAGAAAACATCACATCAAAAGACATAAGATTCCTTATCGACACCTTGGGTATATTTAAAAAAATCATTTTCATATTAAAAAAGTTATTAGTATACCTTTCAAAAAAGATTTGTTTCTACTGGACATATGGATTATTTTTTTTGGTTCCTCACTCAGGTTTGACCTATATCTCTATCCATATACGGTGTGTAAATATACATAATTTTCGGTCCAAATAAACGACACAAAGAATTTAACTTTCAAATCTTCTTGTCTATGAAATTTTGAACTGTTCAGAAATATTATCTATCGGAGAGTGAGAAAAATATTTCCCGGATTTTTTGCTTACCGTTTTAACTTTTAGTTTTGTTGTATGAGCCAATCAAAATTAACCGGAAGTGTCTGTTACTAGACCAAACAACCTGCAACAGAAAGGTGCGAGGAAAGACGGCGTTCGTGGACGTATAGGTGTTGTATTTCATAAACTTTTCAATTTTTTCATGCATTTTCTGTTTTGATGAAGTTAATTCTTTGTTTAGACAAGATTACTGTCTACTCTCTTTGAAAAAAGTGTGTGTTACGAAGAATAACTTTGAATGTAAACTTTGATTTTCAAGACAGTATAAACAGAAATTAAAATAGCAGCGCAGGATATTCATTCACGGATACCAATACAACGATTTCTGTCAAATTTTAGATAACACAAAAGCGTTATCATGGCTAGACGAAAGCAGGAAGCGCAGCTTCAGCAAGAAATAGAAACTCAAGAAGAATGGGAGGACATGCTTTCAAAGGAGGGTCTATATGGTAAAGATTATGTGTACTTCATACGTTCCAATATATTTTACATTCATGAAAATTTCAATGTTGAATTTTTCTTCTTGTTTCCTTTTTGTAGCATTTTGAAAATTAACTGCATAATGGAATTTAAGTTAGACAGAAATCTTCTATTATATTAATTATTGTGAGCATATATGCTGTGAACAAACAAATTTTTTTGTGTGGTCACATCAATCAATTGACATTTTGCAATCAGTTTTCATACTTTGTCTGTTAATATTTTGCCTTTTAGGCATTTTCTTCAGAATCATACATCCAATTTTAATGATGCAGTAGATTAGACCAGTTTATTTCAAAACTCAATATAAAAAAATTGAAATGACACTATATACCATTTTTAACAATTAAAAGTTGTAGATGTTTATCAACAATGGATAGGAAGGTGCACTTGCATTTTACCAATTCTTAAGCGGATAAATGTAGACCTAAGTGATTCACTCCTTCATTTCGCAGTCGTAAGTGAAGTATTGAATGTTATATGCTGGTCAAAAATCAATGTAAATAACACCGCTTTAAGCACTATGTTTTGAGAATTGTTGGTTGAGGAATGTGTGCTGTCCTGGATGATTTGAGGAATGTCACAAACACAGATGGTTGTAACATTAATATATTATTGAAGAATAGTTCTGGTTTAATTGAGAAGGAGAAAGAGAGGGAAAGAGCAAGAGAGAGAGAGAGAAGAGGGACAGAGAGAAAGATATTGTACACTAAAGTATCAAGCACAGCTTAGGTGGTCACAGAATAATCTGGAACCTTGACATCAGCATAATTTAGACCTACATCTTCATATGCATGTTATGGAGAAATTTAATATAGACTATCATAAAGAAATGTCCTTGTATCTGTTGTCAGCTTTGTGGTAAGTTAGATATAATGGAGAACAATGTTGTCTTTGTATTTCAAAGAGGCTGTAAACATCAGTGTTTAAATAATTCTTTACACATGTTGCTTATAATGTTAAGTACACAAATTACTGAGAATCTAGAACTTTGGGCATGATTATTACTACCATTGTATTGGGATAATGTATTGTAAAACTGAAAAAGTGCACTGATAAATGCTATGTTGGGTGTATTTATATAAAAAGCTTTTGTCTTATATTTAGGGTTTATTACTCCCACTTGTAAAATTCCACATTCACAGTAGATATGATTATATCATATGATTATTAATTCCAGAAACTTATTTTATTTCTTTTACCATTTATATTTGTACTGATTATATTTGTATTAATATTGTAACTTTTGATTTTCAGGATTCAAGTAACCAGGACATGATTAAGAATATTACACTTCTTTTTTTAAAATCAATATTTACATTATTGTTTTGAAAAATAGTTGTAGATGTTTACTTGAGCTGGTGTGGTCCCTGTGCATCAATAACGGGAACTTTTAAAAAAATAAAACTAGAACTTGGTGACAACTTGTTGCACTTTGTGACAGTAAGTTTCCATGCCATCGCCATCTTGCTCTGGCCATTGAGCCACGTGTGGCAGTAACAGCAGTGTTGAGCTCAGAGCTTCCTGTATTTTGCTTTCATAACAATTTTGTTTGGATGTAACACATGTTTTATCTATTTTTCTCTTTTACTGACTTAAACATTATAACAGCATGCAGATCCCATATAACCAGGCATGTTTATTCTAATGATTGGTGATCAGACTCATAAGTTGATATATACTGTAGCCTTTTTGACCAAAAAATTAATTCAAAGTAGTGTGGAAATATTTTGAAAGTACTTGAAAAAACTAAGAGAATAATTTTAAGATTCGCTTTGCTGAAGGATTTTTTTCCCCTGAAAAGCAGTATTGATGTATAAGATTCTTACTAGTGGTTGATGTCTTCTTGAATGTATGATATTTCTCCTTATGAGAGGTGGCTAAAACTCTATTACAATTTGAAGTAAATGAGTCAGAATGGATTGTTTAATTAATCATTTTAAAAAGTTAAACAAATTTTTTTTTTTTTTTGGGGGGGGGGGGGGGGGGGACAATGTGAACAATAGGAATCTTGATTCTCAGAATGAGGACTGCCCATTGTTAAACTAAAGTGGGACAAATTAAAGACTACAAATTTTATTTTTTACAGTTCTTATACAGAGATGTGTTTCAAGTGTTTCATAAATCATCGATTTTTAAATCCAGAGAGGTTAAGAGAGCATGGAATGCATATACATGTTTATTTCAGTCAGGAAAGAAAAGGTTCCATAGTTTAAATACTAAATTCTGTTTTTCTACTAACAGTAATTGATGTATACCAGAGTTGGAGTGGCATATGTACTAGTCTGGTCAGCGTTTTCAAAAAAGCCAAAATTGAGCTGGGTGATAAACTTTTGAAATTTGCCATTGTAAGTTATCAAATTGAAGTGCGAATCCCTATAAAAATCACATTTTTTAACATTGATGTTGAAAGCACATGTGAGTAACACATTATAATAACTTCTGAAGTGACTGAATTTAATATCTATATGTAAGTTAATTAAGATAATCATAAGAAAACAGACCATATGGTAGAGATATTGTAGAGAATTATTAAATTTCAACTTTCATAGTAAGTTGAAGAATGGAAATATACTGATAAATGCTTTTCAAAAATATTGAACAACAATTAAACTACCTTTATTTGACCTGTACATGTCATGGCTATAGCCAAAAGTTCCCAAACTTGCATGGAATATGAAAAATTTTTTAATGCTGTTATTTTAAAATAACCTTCAAGGGGATGGCCGAGAAATGTTTTTATAAATGTATTTATTAATTGTTACTATAAAAGCACATCATTTCCTAGTTTTCATTTGCGACTTGGTGTTATAGTGGTAGACATTTACCAGCAATGGTGTGGTCCCTGTAAAGGAATGCTAAGCAACCTTAAGAGAATCCGAAATGATATCGGAGATGACCTACTTAAACTTGCGGCCGTAAGTCACATGATGTTGTGTCGTTGGAATACATTTCCTGTTCGTTATGAGTTCGTTATAGATGTGACACCCACAGCTTTGGCCTGCTGCCCAGAATTTTTTTGTTTCTTTGTGTCACATGAAAAAAATATATTTCATGTATTTTGATATTCAGTAAAATTATATTGCATGCCCAAATTCATTCTGTTCACGTTGATTTTCTTTTTTCAGCTATTCCCACTTATTTCATTTTCAAATTGAAGTTTGAATTTTTCACCCACAGCTGATGATTTTAATCCACAATTTTTACAATATTCCCATGTGTGCTGTGTTATTTTCACGTGTATATACTAAAGATACACTAATGATTGATGCATGGATATCATTAGCCAATAAGAGAACTTAATTAGGAACAATGACCAACATTATTTTCCATTAATTGTAGGACACTTTTTTTCCAATCAATTGTAAATACCCGGTACAAAAAGAAACATCCATACACAACATTTAATGTGCCAGTTTTCTCATTGGCTTGATATGTGCATGCATAAAAATGAATTAGCAAATAATGGAGAAAAACTTATTTTAAAATGGTGGATTATAAATTATCCTACCATTTTATGTATATGCATGTATTCTGTTATTTGCTGATTTAAAAGTCTATATTTACACCAAGGAAGTTTTGGGAAAAGGGATCAGAACTAAAAAAAGATTGAATTTTTAGAAATTTTCATTCCAAATTAAAGCTGCATATATTCTAAACCTTGTGTGTGAATAGACTTCTGGGTGTGTTTTGCGTTATGCGATTTGGTTGGTTAATTTGGTTTGTTGTTGACAGTTGTTGATATCTACCAAGAGTGGAGTGGACCTAGCACTTGTCTAATTGCAAATCTACGACGATTAAAAAATGAACTTGGAGACGAGCTCCTTCATTTTGCAGTTGTAAGTTATAAATAGCGCAAGGACATTTTAAAAAGTAGCAATTGATATAGAAACTTGATATAGTGAATTTAGTAAACTTTAACTTCTAATTATCCTGAACTTGAATATGGCTTTTCTTGGTAAATAAGAAACTTTTCAAAATTTAAGTGCTTAAGATAGATACAGCTCTGTAATTCATCTACTTTCTTTTCTATTCTTTTACAATAGTTTCTCTTGCAAGATTCAGCATATTGTGAATGAATTCATCTTAGATTCTGTTTGAAATAAGCTTTCTGATAATTCTATCTTTAAATTCTGTAGAAACTATGGCCTTATAGTAGGATAGCAGTTAAAATTCTTTCATTCAATAACGTAGGATAGAAAACAACTGTTGACTGTCTTTATATCCACAATTTGCTTCCATATTTTCATTATTTTTGTGTGTTAATTTTATTCTAATTTTATGTTTTCTCTGTATTATATTTAATATAATATAATATATTTATACTATACAGTAATTCCTTTATTTTTTTTTTAAATATTTATTAAATGACGTATATTTTAAATGAAAGAGTAATTTTTCTGAGTACATCAATGTATTTAAAAAAGCAATGGTAATACTGAGTTCATTCTGAATCTAATACATAAAGCTTAATTGTCATTATATGATTTAATTTTCTTAAAGATTTCATTAATTAAAATTTTGTGTTATGTGATGTAACTAGGCAAAAGCAGATACCATTGATGCTCTAGAGAAATACAGAGGGCACTGTGAACCATGCTTCCTATTCTATGCTGTAAGTTATCTCCCTTTTGAAAGTAAAGTATTAGAAAGATATTCAATATATTACAAAATAATATTTTTTATGAAGTGATTCAACTTGAATCATGAGACTTGTGAAGGACCCCCCCCCTCTGAAAAAAAAATGTGGAGAATTGCCAAACAATTTTAACCCTTCCTTAGCAGGGTTGAAATTTTGGTTGAGAGGGTCCTATCCATGAGTATCTGTAACTCAAATCAGTTTAATTTATAAGGCATAATTTGGTGCAGCATATAAAATTTACAACAAAGAGTTTTCATGGAATATGAGAATTTAGAGTTGATTGAAATTCATTCAAGTGAATTATCCATGCCCATATCTAGGGGGCGGGGTGGGGGTTAGATGGTCCAACCCCCTAAAAAAAAAACTGGTAATGATTCATTGCATATGGATTTTTTTTAGTGATAATTATGTAATAATCTTTTTAGGGAGGTGTCTTAGTAGCAGTTGTCAGGGGAGCAAACTCTCCAAAAATTCTCAGAACCATAACAGAACAGCTACAACATGAGCACAAAGTCATTGATGGAGGAGCTGAGAGGAAGGAGGTAAATATTTATGGCCGACAGATTGGGTTCATTTTGTCATGCATCGATCTGTACACCTACATGGAGTCACATTTTCACTTGAAACTTGTCATCCGTATGGGAATCCAACATGGATCATTTTGCATTTGATTTTTTCACCATATTTGGAAAGTTAAGATGGCAGCTGCATTTGCTGCTGAATTGATACATGTTAACAGAATACAGTGAAACTTGGATTTCAAGAACTTGTTTATAAGGAAATATTGGTTATTATGAACTTTGGGCAAATATTGTTGTAGATTTTTTTCGAAGATTTGATCTTATAAGGAAATAAAGAAATACTGTTATAAGGAGGCAAAATCTGAGATTTGCAGTGACTTTCTAATAACCAGGATTTACTGTATATAATGTTAATATTTAGGTAATTACAGTCATATTCAAGGCAAAAGCAAATATCAAAACCATGTCTACATTTTAAAACATATATTACTGACTAGATTTATAAGTGAATTAAAATGAATCAGTCGGTTAATATATATCAATAAAAAAGTTTCAAACACTGTATACTGGTAGTTATACAATAGAATTTTAATATTATTTTTAATAATATGTCAGCTCTAATTATAAATCAGGGTTTTACATGGCACGGTTTGAAACTTTTGAAACTTTTTGTCCTTGCAGATTAAGGATCCATACATCGCTCAGATGGAGTCTCAGGAAAAACTGGACGAAGAGGAGGAGGAGAAAGAGGAAGAAGGTGAGAATCAGGGTCAAGTAGATGTTTGTAAAAAATTGAGATTCATGACTAATTAGATGTTTATAAACTTTGACAGATTTTATCTGCATATAGATACTTTAAAATTAGATCAAGCAGAAGTTTGATCATAATTTTTTCGTACAATATGTTTTCTTTTAGTTCCATTTATTGATACTATTTTTAAAAGCTATAAAATTTATTAGATTTATTTATGAATCCTCAGTGAAAAAAAAAAAATGTTTCACCAATAAAGTAGGAATAGTGGATTTAGTTTTTATAGAAATTAAGAAACAAGAAGTATTTAATTAACTTAATCTTTTCACATGAAAATTCTATCATGATGAGCTAATCATTACACACTATTATGTATGCTTACAAATGTCATATAAAATAGGCAATTTTATTAACGTGACCTATATAATCGATCAATGTTATATACTCTATCTTAATCTATGTAGAATATGAGAGGTTAATATTTATCTTCATTCTTATTTTTTTCTTTTCTTTGTGAACTTTTTAAAGGTAAATTTCATACTAATTAAAATCTCTTATCTTAAAAATAGTGTTTAATGTTCTTTGACATTGAAATGTTAGAGATATATTTAAGCCTAAGGGAAAAAAGGGAATTTATCTTTTTGTTGAAAATTTGTTAAAAAAACATGTTTTACAATTATTTAGAAACAGAAGAAGGTAACTCTTTTCCCCATTTCTGTTTTTGATATTTTTTCCTCTTTTAAAATTTTGTTGTTGTTGAATTCCTGAAAAATGACTTTTTTTCATTCGTAACATTGCATGGATATTCCCAAGAACTTTCCTTTGAATTCCACAACATCTCCTGATTGAATCGAACCTTGTACACAGTGAACCAATTCTCTTCCCAAATCCTCATCATAAGAATAAACATTTTGATTCATTTACTGTTGTACTTATTGAAAAAAAAAATCCTAGAAAATTCAGATTTCTGTTTCGTGTCTATTTTTAATTCTCTGTGTGTTTCTCATGGATTTTTCTTTCCTGTATTTTTGGACACAGGGACCCGTCCACAATCTAGGTTTGCCAAAGGTATATAATGTTGCAACGTAATCTGCATACTGTTGCCCATTGTTTGTTGCAGACATATACAATTATGCTTTTATAGCAGCATGAAGAATGTCAACCATGTTTAAAAAGAATTAATTTGAATTTCTTGATTTTTCTAATGATATAAGCTGAATTCTTATTGTCAGTAAATTAACGTGTCTGTTTTCTTTAAAACTAGATTTTGTTATCTTTTGATAAGTGGTTGGGTTAAGAGCTTTAGTTTTAGCCTTTTTCTACTTACTTTCTAACTTTTTTTCTGAAATACATGTATTAATGATTTCTAGAATGCATCATGCCTTTAATCAAAAGTAGGTCAGGTAGATGGGAAATCAGACTGCATTCGAATAGTAAATTTTTAGTTGTTTGCCTAATTGTTCTTTAAAAAAGTTTAGTTATAGTCATTTTCATAAATGGAATCATTTTTTTTTATCTCTTTTGCATAATAATTAAGAAAAAAGTTGGAGAGGAAAAAACTGTAAAATTAAGTAGTGTAATAAAAAAATATCAAGAAACATGAGACATTAAAATAAATTTACTACCTCATTTCCCCCTCCCCTCCCCCACCCCCAGAAAAAATAGATTTAAAAAATGAAAAATTAATCAAACAAGCAACTACAAGAGCAAACAAACAAAACACAAAAATATAGTCATAATTAATATAAATAGTTCTTAATTTGGTCAGCAAATGTATCTTATTTCATTATCAGCTATTAATGGTTCAGAAATATTTAGTGATGAAAGAAATAATGAATAATAAGTAAAAATCCAGTAATCTTAATTATTTTATCTATTTCTTTACATACTTTCCTGCAGGCCAGAAGATGAAGTATAGGGGAGAAATAGTTAATTATGGGGACTCAGATGAATTAATGCCTGGATCAGGTTAAACATAGCAATGCAAATTTATCTCCCCTTAAATGTTTTCCTTTTCTTTCTGTTCATATCAGCTCAATAATTTAACACAAGTGATTCATGTAATTTTTGTAGTGTTTAACTTTACTGTTGGAAAGAAAAATAATTTATTGAAAAATTACTTGGTTCTAATTATTTGAGAAACAAATGCTTATTATGTTATCTGAAGTTTTATGCATTTCAATATGGAAAGGGTCGATAAATATGCAGTTTAATTTATAACATGTACATTTGACACAGAAATAACTAGGAAAACCTTTTAAAAAAAGAAATGAAACAATTTCTTTCAAAGACTTACCACTTCAAAGGCTTTTTCACAAAAACATAAATTCTGAAATATATATTTCAATTTTTAAATTAAAAAAAAAATTATAAATTGCTACACATCATAAGGCTTACAATATTTTGTGTTGGTAAATTATTTTGAATTACAAATAAATCAGTTACAAACTATGGTTTCAGTTCTTGTGGGATATTTTTTCATTCAGATCAAAATTTAAGGACTGTCATTTACACATACTTTATCCTAAAAAAAAGAAAAAAACAAAAACAAATTTAAGGAACATTTAATACAAATTTCTCTGTTACACCTTGAAAATGTAGCATTTACCATTAATGGGTGTGATTTCCCACAGTAAAGTTTAGACAATTGTAAAGCTTATTACTTTGTTTTAAGATTAAACTAAATGTTTAATAGCATTTTGGAGTAGTTTTAATTTTTATAATTTAAGCATGATCTATATCACCCCTCCATAAAATTCAACTTCCAGTAATTTTTACAGACATTGCAGCTTGTCCTTTTATATGCATGTTACTGAGTTGATTAATATAATACATGTAATAATTAATTTATTTATTTATATATAGGCCAGGGTAATAAATGTTTTGATTTTTATAACTTAACTGGAAAATGGCATACTGTGACAATTATTAATGCATGTATATGTTTTTTTTTCTTATTGATTGTTTGTTATAATATATATTTGAGAATATTAATGCTTTTTTTACTAGCATTTATGAAATTATTCTTTCATATATATTTATGCATGCCTTGATCAGTTCAAAAATGCATTTTGCACAGGCATCTTTTTATTTCTTTATCACAAAATAGAGCCCCTCTTTATATTGTCCCTTTCTGTTAAATATATATACAATGAATTTGTCTTAGCATACAAATTTCTTCCTCTGAAATTGCTTTTAAAATGTCATTGTTTAAATTGAATGCCTGATTAATTAAAATTTCAGTTTTTTTTTTTTCAAATACATTTTTCTTCATTTAATTTACTGGTAATTAACTAGTTTTATTTTGCTCTCTTTCTCTGTGATAGCTCTGAATAATCTTAGCTGCTCTTCAATTGTAATGCATGTAAACAATACAACTCTCTAGCTTACAGGAAGGTTTAATGACAATATTTTTTATTTTCAATTTTCTAGAGGGTAAGAAAGAAATCACAGTGTGTCTTATCAAACCTGATGCTGTTGCTGCAGGCAAAGTGCCAGAGATTATTGCCGATGTGAGTTTTTTTTTTTTTTAAATCTAAATTCATTTGAATATGTAAATTTCAAGTGTTCCTTTTGATGGCTCATACTATGGGAAAATCCACCGGTAATCCCTTCTAGTTTGTATATAACTTTCGCAAGTTTAACAAGAGCAGCAAACTTTGTAAATAACAGCCAGCATTTAGAAGGACTTATCTTTCGTATATTTTAAAAATTGATTTATTTTATGCTAGTTAGAAGTAAATATATGCTTGACCAAAATGGGTATAAATGTTTTTATTTATCAAGAAAAAAGTCCCATTTCGGTTCAAATTAAAATTAATTTCCTTTGGTGGAATTAATTTTTGTCATATGAGCACTTCATGTCCAAATTAACTTAATTTGGCCTTGTCTTATGCTGCCATTGTTCCTATCTTATAAAACTGCATGAGTTAAGCAACATCTTAGCACTGGGAAAAAAAGTTCTGATTGTTTAATGTCTGTGTTGTAGATTGAGGCACATGGTATCGAGATCCTTAAGAATGAAGAACGTCACCTGACAGAGGATGAAGTCAGACACTTCTACAGCCATCTTCAGGATGAGTCGTTCTTCGATGACTTCATCAAGTTCATGACCAGTGGCACCTCCCATGTTCTGGTTCTGACCAAGGGTAGAACAGGAGAGAACATCATCAGCGAGTTCAGAGATCTGATTGGTCCAACAGATGTGGAGGAGGCCAAGGAGGCTCAGCCTGAAAGGTCAGATTTAATTGAACTTAGTGTGAAAGGTCAGATACAGTTGAACTTAGTGTGAAAGGTCAGATACAGTTGAACTTAGTGTGAAAGGTCAGAAAAAATACATAACCCGCTTACACGGGTTATGAATTTTTTTTGCAATAGTGCGACAGTTAATTCTATATAGACATTTTATTGTTATTTAGGAGTATTTTACCCTATCTTTGGACTTTCAGTACTACGTAATCGAATACTAGTAGATTCTCATTGGTTACGAAATTAATAACATAGGAACTTAAAATTGTTGTTGATAACGATCAGACGACTCATGCCCCACCTCTGTGCCGTGAGAGAACTTTTAATTCAAATTGGCTATTTACTACACTAGTTGACATTCGGCCGCATTTCTATCATATGTATATTTCAACAGTGAAGGGAAGCTGTGTAAATTTCAGAAGCTAATTAGGTAACGTCGAGAATGCCATGCCTTACTGAAAGTCCAAACTAAGCGTGTAATTCTTCGATATCTGTTTAAATAATCATTTAAAGTAGGATTAAAAAGATTAATTATTGTATTAATGATGCAAACGTCTTTATACATTTCATTGATACATATACAAACTGTATTGCAGTGATTAATTATTTACAGTTGAACTTTTTTTCATGTACATATATCTTTAGTAGTTAAATACCTCAAACCCAAAGGATTTTCTCTGTCCTATTGATTCAAGATAGTGAGGCTTAGATGTATAAATTTAACATTTGTTTGAAGTAACATATAAATGTATTCATGTAATTTTTATCTTGTTCTTAGTTTGAGAGCCAAATATGGTGAGAAGGCATTCATGAATGCTCTCCATGGCAGCAGCTCAGAAGAAATGGCAATGAGGTTTGTTTAAAGATAAAGATCATCAAAATTTTGAAATTTAAATTTTACTTCTCTTCAAGAGCTAATGGAGTAATATACTTGATAAAATGTTAAAAATTTTCCAATTTTTATACCTGTTTATGAAAATGGTCTTTTCATTTTTTTCAGGGAGCTGGCCTTCTTCTTCCCAGACTATGTTATCCCAGAATCAGAAGGAAAACCCAAAGTACAGAGAACTCTGGCTCTCATCAGACCTGATGCCTTCAAAAACCACAAAGGTAGATGTAATCATGGTGCAATATTATATATTCACCTTCCTTTCAAAAGAAGTAATACTATTGAACAGTGAAGATAAAACACAGATTTTGAGGGGGTCAAATCTGCAGAACTATATTTTTTCAACCACTAAGCCTTATTTTTCAAAAATGGTATTGAGCACTATTTGTAATCTTAATTGGGTGAATATATTGGTTTTTCTGTAGATAAAATTCTTATACTACATATTTAAAGAAGTAAATTCATTAGAATGAACATTTTTATTTTTTTTTGCAGATGAAATTCTGGCCAATATCACCGAGGCTGGATTTAAGGTGGCTATGCAGAAAGAGATGCAACTTACAAAAGAAATGGCAGAAGATTTCTACAGGGATCATAAGGGTCAGGATTACTTTGAGGAGCTCGTCACAAGGATGACAAGGTAAATAGAGTGAAATCTCTTTACTTAATTATTTATGTTGATAGAGAGGTTTATATGCATGTTAGAAGGTCTTGGGTTTGTGTCCTGGCTGCAACAAACCCAAGTCAAAAAAATGTAGCATCTGTTGAAGTTGAAAGTTTAAATTAAATCAAGATATTTAACAAAAAAAAAATGTGTCAGGCACTGGCACACAAAAAAACCCCTCAATGCTCAATATAGTGCTGAGTAAAGGATAAAAGTCTAAGAAATACGTATATAGGGGTGAAAATTTCCCGAAATACTTCACTTCAGATTCATTTCTTTAGTAAATGTTTTCAGATTTCAAAATTTTCAGGGTTGTTGAAAAAGAAAAACTGTGCTGATAATAAACAATTCAAAGTAAAAGGCTTGTAAACTTTATTTTTCTGCAGTGGTCCAGTCCTAGCTCTTGGTTTGGCCAGAGAGGATGCCATTTCAGGATGGAGACATATGTTGGGGCCCACCGAGGTAGAGAAGGCTAAGACAGAGGCCCCAGACAGGTAAAAAAAAAAATAATATGTTATAAATTTGCACATTTTGTGTATGAGGAATGATTGTTATATGAATAAATTCATCAATAAATATAGTAATTGAGGGATGATAGTGATAAATGAAACTTTGAAGTACCTGAGAAATGCTGATGTCATATTTTTGGAATTCATTTGTATTCAGTTTACGAGCCAAGTTTGCAATAGACGACACCAAAATCAACATGCTTCATGGTTCCGATTCTGAAGAAACTGCCAAGAAAGAATTAGAATTCTTCTTCCCAGTGCAGCAGACTGTAGCAGTGATTAAACCTGATGCTGTAGGCACTAAAGGTACAATATAAATAGAAATTTCTATTCATTTGCTGAAATTATTTTTCTTTATATATTCTTTACTGAATAACCCAAAAAGGATCGGTCAACAGGCAAAGCCTCTGCACACCCTCTTCTAAATGTGTTGTCTTATATGGCTATTTGCTCATTTCTAGTGGTATAAATAGGAATATTTGAGAATCTAGAGTTCCTCTTTACCTCCATAGGTGGGATGTGTTTATAAAGCCCCCCCTCCCCCCCAGTCCCAACAACAACCCTTCCCTCTCTACACAATTACGAACGTTTTGCTTGATATAATGTCATAAAAGTGGCCAAAGCCAACAACCAATGAATTTTTAAAACAATGATTTATAAATTACTTTATTTCCTTTATAGATGAAATTATTGACAGAATCCATGAATCAGGATTTAAGATTGCAGCCACCAAAGAACAACAGTTGACCCGAGAGCTTGCTGAGGAGTTCTACGCCGATCACAAAGGAAAAGATTACTATGAAGACTTAGTAGAACACATGACAAGGTCTGTTTGTTTTAATGCGTTAGTTAGTCAATAGAGGAAAAATTTATAAAATATGATGTATAAGCAAAGACTTTGTTCATTCGTCATCTATAATGGAATGCTTGATTTTGATTTGGTGTACATTTTTGTTTTTTATTCAGCTCTTTTTTGGCATTTTGCAAAAGTTTGATTTGTATGTGTGTAATTTTTGAAGACCAAAACTCTAGTTAAAATTTATTTTTTATCTTTCAGTGGACCTACATATGTAATGGTGCTATCAAGAGAAGATGCCGTCCAAGGATGGAGGGAAATGATTGGTCCAACAGATCCCGAAAAGGCAAAGGAAGAAAATCCAGACTCGTATGTATAGAAAATTTTAAGTTAAGAGAATTGTTGTTTTGTCTTTTAAAAGATATTTTTCAGGTGTTAAAAAGTGAAAAAAATTCCAGAAGAATTCAAGAAGGAGAGCTTTGTTTCACAGCTGTCTCGATGCCATATGTTTTAAATGTATTTATCTCCCTCCCCCTCTGAAAATGAATCCCCTGTCCACCTGTTCATCTGTCTGCTCAATCTTGTCAAAGCTTTAACCTACTCCCATTGTCAAAAATGGTGAATTATGTTATAAAGCTGAATTTTTTTCTCTCCTTAGATTACGTGCAGCATATGGCAAAAATATTCTCCAGAACGCCGTACATGGCAGCTCAACAGTGGAACATGCAGAGACCTCCGTTAAGAAGATATTTGGTGATTTGAAATTTGGACCTGATGGTTCGGTCTTAGGTATCCTTATTTTACCTGCCTTCAGATCAGCTGGCATGTGCATGAAAACCTCCCTTTTTCCAAAATTAGGAACAAAAATAATCGTTTCGTTCAACCAAAAAAATTATTTATTGATTATCACACAAATCTTGCTAGAAATCTTATTGCACTAAATCCTTATTATAAAAGCCCTACTTATTTATGCATGTTCCTATATATAAATAAGCTAGGGTATCCCTAACATTTAAAATTCATTGGTTAAGTTGATAAAAAAAAAGGACACATAGGATTTTTTTTTTTTGCTTTTCTATGCTGTGTTTAATGCAGAGACTGAGAAAATACTCCCTCTAAGATTGCTTTACGTAGGAAGTTTTTTGGTTTATCATCATAGATATTTAAAGCGTATTCTGAATTTTAAGTGCCTTTTCCTTTTTTATCATGAATAGAAACTCAATGAAAATCACAGCTTCATATAAGTTGTCTCACTATTTTGCTTGAATTCTAGCTCCAATCTCGCTTTTTTTTATTCCTATGTGGTAGATTAATGAAAGACTGTATGAATTCTTTTTGATTAAGGCATTTGCTTTATTTTATCAGGCAAAATATTACATTCCACTTTTGCAGTACATCTACAGTGTATTTTTATCTTTAAGCTTTAATTCCTTATTTATATGCATTGCTAAGTAATGTTTTAAGATTTTATTGTAGAAGTGTGTCATGTTAGTTTTAAGGGTAAGATTCAATAAAAAGTAGCAGATTAAACCAAAGTTAATGAAAACTTTTAATTAGTACATTGTTGTGTCCAGCTGGTTCTCTAGATTTTATTTTGTGGTATCAGTGTTATCAAATTTTTTAATGTAAGGTGTAAATAATTCCTTCCTCTTGATTCCCTCAATGATGTTTTTATTTTTTATTATCTCTCCTTCCATTTTTTTTTTTTAAATATAACTAAATTTTCTTTGAATCCAACAAAATATTAGGATTTCTATGTAAATTCAAGATTAAAAAACATTTATACAGATGGTTAAAAAAAATCATTTTAAAATGGCCTTGCTAAATTGTCAACATGTCTGCTACTGAGGGTAGAGTTGTGTCAGTTCACGAATTGTTGAATTAATTCACGATTCCTGGATTGGAGTGGATGCCAAGATTTTTTTTTTTAATCTTGTAGTTTAATTCGAGTGTGTGTATATACATCCACCTTTTGCTATTCAGTCTGCACGTAGTTTTTTGTTCATCTAGAATTCAGTTTGTTTTTTTTCCTTCAAAGTACATGTATTTTATTTTTTTTCTTCTTATTTTTTGAATTGGTTTCTTTATTTTGTTTTTACAATATCGAAAACATTTAAAGAAAAAAAAACCCTACATTTGATTTCCATTTCCATAACTTTAAATATTATATTGCATCCACTTTTTTTGATTTCAAATTCTGAATATTCAGCAAAATTACAAGCGTATATTGAGTGGAGTTGAGTTTTTAGTTTTATCTCAGTATTCAAACCTTACACCCTAAATCTTTACCCATTAAATGAAACTCCCCATTTTTTTTTTATTTGAACTAAATTATCAGCCAGGTTGCACATGTTGCAGGAGCAAAATTCTACATTTTTCTCCTTCATATATATTTCCCTGCACACTTGTTTTCAGCCTTTCTTCCTATACACCCAGCTTTCTATACTAAACTATAAATGGAGATATTTTAAGCTTAAATGTATATTTTAAATTACCGGTATACAATGTTTTTTTTTTCTTTTCATATAACTATAAATATTAGTCTCAGCTAGTGCATATACAGTAACTTGAATTTCTAACTGTCATAAAAATTGATTTAATGAAACAGTGTAAATATCTTCATGAGGGTAAAAAAAATGGATTTATTGTTTATGTTTAAACCAGGGAAACTATTAGATGATTGTAAAAAGCATTTCCCGGTTATTATAGCAGAAATTCCTAACAGACGAACACCCAGGAATCATCTGACTAGAATTTACTCTACCAAATACTTTCTTCATACTATATTCAAATTTTCAAATCTCAGGTGAATCTTAATTTTGATGCAAATAGGAATAAATTACCCAATTTTCTTATTTTTATGGAACCAAAAAAAAAAAGAAAGAAAGAAAGAAAAAATAAAATAGATTTCTCATGCATAAAGTGGACATTAATTCACTGCATAACTAATATATCTTTCTGTCTCTGATATTTCATAAATTTTATAGTAATGATTTTAACTGCTGAAAAAATTAAATATTATAGTTTTTTACCCTTCATTAGCACATCTTAAATTTTCCAATCTTTCTAAATATAAAAATGTTTGTACATATATGTAGTGAAAAAGGGCCTGTAAACTCTAAAATATGAGCTATTTTTTGGCTAATTAACAACTCTTTTATTTTTGCAATTTTCTCTGTATGATTTTATTAGAGCTGTCATTGATGGTAGAATTAAAAAATGAAGGTTCAACCTCCACAAGTTTGGTTTAAATTTCAAAATATTAAGTAGCAATTCTAAAAATATGTGATCTATATTTTATTAAAAATTTTAGACAATAATTAAACAACTGCATGAAAGCCATCAAGGGCAGCTGTGTAGATGTTATATGCACGAGTGAATACTATAGCACTGATTTTACAGAATAATTCACAGAATATCACCATAAATGATAGAAATGCTGTATTTCAAATAAAAAAAATAGAGTGAAATTATGATTTTCTAAAGTAATTTATTTTTTAAAAATTTAGTAATTGTTTCAAAAGAAATTTGAAAAAAAAAGGATCGGCACTAGCACACATGCATGCACAAATCGAAGTATTTTATAAAAGTGAATGAATTTATCATAACTAATATCTATTATTTTTCAATAGCGGACGAGGCAGTGGAACCAGAAAAGAAAGGTAATTTTATCTTATTCTACATGTATTATTGTTTGCAAGGTTTTGTGTGTGTTGCAGTGATTTTTATATATCTCTATGGAGATTGAAAACTTTTTTGTTATAGATTATTTTGAATGCAATCAAAAATTCTTGATAGGAATCATTTTTTTTGTGTGTGTCAGAGTGTGTGTGGGTATTTTTGGGGAAGGGGGAGGGGTGTCAATACATGTATTTGTAAGTAATCAATTTTGAAAATACATTGCTGGTTCACTGTGATGTCATTTTGTGGGTACATGCAGAATTGCAGAACAAACTTTTTACATGTATAGACAAGTATATATTTCAAAAAAGTGAGAGAGAGATGATAATTTTAATCTTTTGAAAATAATATGTCAAAAGTTCACACTAAACATTATCTAACAAGTAAAAATAAATGTATCCCATGCATACACACACTACAAATTTGGGCAGTGACTTCCACACTTTGGTAGGGAAATTATTTACATGGTGTTTTTATGGGAAGAAAATGTGTGTGTAAATCAAATTTACTGGTATAAAATTGAGAGTTGTTGAAATTTTTAGTGTTTTAAGATTTTATGAATTTTAAGGAACTTTTGGTCAGGCTTTAATTTGCACTTTACTTTCAAACACCAGCTTAACTTTTTATGTTGCAAATTGTAGAAAAATATTTTATTATTTGTAATCTGAATTATGACAAAATAATTATTTAGAAATAGATTTAATCTCAATTTGAAAATCCTGGCAGTGCATTTAAAAAAAAAATTATAAAGCAAGTCATATCGTACAGCGTGTTTTCTTGGCGGGTGTAAAATTTAGCATTTTGTCTGCTCAAATGTATGCCAATAATTTAAGCTTAATGTAATTTTAGCAGACACAGGGTTTCTATCAGCTCTTTCAGGATGGACACTAAAAAGAGTACTGACTATTTTAGCGATGAAATTTTTTGCGGACTATCATCCATGCAGACTTCAAAATAAGCCAAAATTAGCATCCCGCTAAAATAACTCGCTATACGGTAATGACAGATCAATTTTCTAAAAAAAAAAAAAAAGCAGCATATCTATTAATGCTGATGTAAAAAGTAATGCTAGTAATTATACCAATAAAAATTGAAAATTGATGCTAGTAATGATACCAAGTGAAATAAATGTATACACTTGTCAACTCAGAGGGTGAAGAAGGTGTTGAGGAAGGTGAACATGAGACAGAACAAATCCCATCAGAAGAACCCACGGAAAAGTCACAAGAAGGTCTTCTATATATAAATTATACCCTACATAGATATTATAGTTCTTTATAGTTTTTCTGCATGTTTCAATACAGTGTACCATTTTTGCAATGTACATTTGTATATTTAGTTAATAGTTTTTAGCTAACCTGAGCCCAAAGCTCAGACTGATCAAAATTTATCATTCATCTGGAATCTGTTAACTTTATTCATTCTGAATATAATATTGGTCAATTTTTTTTTAACAAAGAAAATTAACCATTTAATAAATGTTCTGAAGAAAAGTTAGGACAAAGCAATTATGGTGAGCTATGTGGCCCATGGGCCTCATTATATTCCTCTTTTCTGTGGTCTTTTCATAAATTGAAAGGGAACCCTTTCTAATTCTGATAGATGTCTGTAGTACTTACTAACAATGCATGCCTTTCCCAGTAAATTATTTAGATCCCCCAGAGTAATGATATTTATCATAGATTTTTTTTGTGTGTGTAATTTTACATTGAAGGAACTTTGATGTTCTATTTTCCAAAAAGAAGACAATATTACTAATATAATGCAATACATAGCTTAAATTAAAATAAATTACCATAAATGTGTTGTTCAACATTGTAAAGCAAATATCATGGCCTAAATTCAAATAATTTGAGCAAATAAAATCAGTAAATAAGTATTTTAAAAGTAAATGATCAACATACAAATTTTTACATAACAGCATTGATTTTCAAGATCTAGATGGGAATATATGGTTTCATTAAATTCATTTTTTAAAACTTAAAATTAGAGAAAGTTTTGTCTCTGTATCTATACTAAATAGCTGAAATTTCATTAGTCATCCTAAAACTTTATTTTGGGAGCATTTTTTAAAACTAAAGCTTCACTTTGTGATTCACAGAACCTGTTACGACCTCGAAACCTGAAGTAGAACAGACGTCCCCCGAGTATCGAGAAGGTCATTACTAATTTTAACTTCCTCACTATAGATGTAGTACTTAGTACTCACACTGTGTGTACCGCCCACTCACCTAATTCTTCTATTAATATCTCAAATTCTTATATGCAAATCAGAGGGTGTTTGATTTTTTTTTTTATTAAGAAAAGTCTTTGAATAATTGAGCTTGGTTGAGGATGCTTTGGGATATATACAGCCAAACCTAGTTACATGTATCTTAAAGTATCTCATTGTTATCCACTTGACGTATAATTTTTACAAAAATTCAATTCAATTTGACAATTAATGCTCAAAAAGTGTTTGGTTGATTGATAATTGGTACTGGCTCATAGGTTATATAGAATATTAGACCACATAGAATTCAGAATATTTAGTACTCTAACTGCTTCAGTATGGAAAAGTAAGATTATTTCATACTGTTAAAATTAAGGTATATCTCTTGCTTATAAAGTCTATGGACTTATATCCTTCTGTATTAAATTTTGTGGTTTGTTGTTTTTTTTACATTTAATTAGTAGTTTTTATTTTGCTTTATTTTTTCCCTTTACTTATTTTTAACAGTGAATGATGCAGCTGGTACCAGTTAAATTGTGTTTTTAAAGCTTTGTTGGACAAAAAATATTCTTAAATTTAAAGATAATTTCTTTTTAAAAATATTTTATGTCAAAATGGTTTCTCACTTCAACAGATTTGTAAGAGAATCTTATTTCTATGCAGTTTCATTTTCAGTTCAGTTGTATCAGTTGACAGGGAACAATCATAAACTCGAAAAATTATTTTTAAAAAAACCTTCCTTTGTTTAATATAAAGTTAACTTACTTTATATTGACTTCTTCATTTGCAGAAGAGAAAAAGGAGGAGGAACCTCCCAAAGAAGATGCAACAAAACCTGCAGAAGAAGAAAAACCAGCTGAAGAACCGAAACCAACCGAGGAAGAAAAACCAGCTGAGGAGTCAAAACCGGCAGAAGAAGAAAAACCCGCTGAGGAGTCAAAACCGGCTGAGGAGTCTAAACCAGCCGAGGAGGAGTCAAAACCAGAGGGTATGTTTCAAATCATTGATTGTGGGTATACTCTAGGTATGCATAAACAGACATTTTCAAAATTTAGTTCAATCACAGAGTATGCTTATATTCGGACTACAGGTAAATGAATTGAACTTTTTAAATGAAATTGTGACCAAAAATGATATTCCTTAAAAGGGACAAATGAGAGTGAAAGTTTTCCCAGCATGTTTATTGTTCAAATATTTAACTTTTTTGTAGAATCAAAACCAGCAGATGAGGCACCTAAAGAGGAAGAAAAAGCAGGTAATGATGGAGTTGTATCATCTAAAAAAAAGAGAGTGATTAAAAAACAAAGAGTGACTTTTTACAATAGCTTTTAATAACAGTTCAGTAATACTTGTAGATATATAGCAAACCTTTTTTTTCTCTATGTAGTTATCAACTGTAAGTTTGTTCACTAAAAGTATTTACTATATTAGCTTAAAGATTCCTAAAATTAAATTTTGTCTTATAGAATCACCGAAACCAGATGAAGAACAAAAAGGTATAGTTCTAGATATACATTTTAATGTATCTTAAACTTGGAAAAATTTTAATTAATGTTTGAATGATTACCAAGTACCTTGCAAGACTGTACATCTGGACATCCACGCTAGAAGTTTTATCAGTTTGATTGTTTGAAGTGTTATTAGACAAATGGAAATGTGTTTTAGTAATGTTTGTTGCAACTGAATTAGTGATGAGTTAATTAGTATGATGTAGATTTTTTGAGTGATTGCACTAAGAGCAGTAGATTTTTGAAAATGCACACTGCATGGGAACTGCATTGGCATCAAATGTAGTTTTGCTCCTGGTCAATAACTGAAGCTTATACTGTGTTTGTAATTGCATTAATTATTTGCACCATGCTTCATTGTCTGTAAAAGGTGAAGAGGCTAAACCTGAAGAGGGTGAACAAAAACCAGAACAAACAGAAACAACAACAGAAGAACAAAAGCCAGGTACTGATCAGTAAATGGTCCAAAGTCACCAAGATGTTGTGGATTTTGTTGTCAGATACAGTAATCAACAGAAATTTAAAGTCTATGTGTAAAATTTATAAAACTGCACTGAAAAAAAAAACAAATTCTATAAATAAAGTTGATGCTTTTGGCAACAATACAGGTATGGTACTAAGAACAAAATTTTGGAACTTAACATAGCAAAAAAAGAAAATAAAGCAAAAAAACCCCAAAATAACACCCACCCACCCACCAAAAATTAAAGTCTAGGTGGCACATACTGTAAACGTATATATTTAGCATGTACGATATTTGGCGGAAATTGATTTTTAATGAGCTAGCGTAGATTTGATTTAGCACATTTCTCAATGTTCTTATTTATGTGTATATGAGCAAGACATTTAGCGTTGTACTTGAATTAGGGGAAGTTCCTTTCCGCCAAAAGCTCTAAAAAGATTACACAGCCAAATGTAATAATTTTACAGTAATATATAAAACACTCAAGTAAAATTTGGCACCAACAAATTGTGAGTGTTCCATTTTGACTTTGCTATGTGTTTGTACCTGGTTGGTAGGATTTAGTGTGTGGCTGTGTAACAGCTCATCTGGCAGTTTGGGTTACTGTGTTGTAAATGTATATGCTTGCAAAACTCAGCATGTCAAATGTAGCTTTTTTGTCAAATTTTTACAGCATAATTTTCTAAGGATTTATTTAGTACAAGTTAATAAATGTAGATTTCCTACAAAACTAACAGTTTGATTAATCAACTGCAATAGGCTATAGACTGTAAATGGAAACCATGCGCACCAATCTTATATAGATAAAACAGTAAAACTTGTCTAATCAAGATATTGTTTATTCCAAATATTGTTTAATCTGGCCAATTTCTTTGGAACCATTGATGTCTGGATTAGACAAGTTTTACATACTGTACAATTATAATTCATAATTTTTTATGACTGATGTAACTAAAATTGCTTGAATTAGGTAAAACTTTAAGGCTTAGACAGAGGTATATATCAACAACTTATGAACATCTTCAATGTCTGCTTTTTTCTGTTCTTACTCTGTTGTGTTTTCTTACAGCGGAAGAAGGAGAGAAAGAAGAAGAAAAGAAAGAGGAGGAAAAGAAAGAAGAGACACCAGCAGAACAAGGTAAGTACTTATAATGAAGTGCCAAAGACAAACAATTTGCTTTGTTATAAGCGTATTTTGATATATCAAATAAGTTTACAAGTACAACATATATTATTTAAAAGCCATGGAGAATAAAAATCTCTTCGCTATACGCGTCATTTTGTAATGTGTTCCCTATAAGAGTGTTTTACTGTACTATAGCTTTGTAAATGGATCAGTTCAAGCGGCTGCTGATGGACTTGTTCTTTTTTAGCTAGTACACTTAAATCAATCCTGTATTGACATGTTTTCCTTATTTGCTATTTCACAGGATGAATGCATAAGAAATTTTAAGGACAGTTATTCAATAATAAGGTAAGATATTACAGATTTTTTCGTAATTATTACAGACAAGAAACATATTGACGCAAGCGTCAAAAATCGGCCGCAAACCAATTAATTCTTCCTTTGATAAGGTAATTATAGAAACTGAAAATGTAATTTCTTAATTTCTGTTAAAATATCCTCGTGACATGAAATACTTGCATGCGACATTGCCGATTTTCATGCATAATGCATGTACAATATCAAATGTATAACAAACTGTCCATATAATTTTTCCTCAAACCTCTGATGGAAGTTTGATGTTAAAGTAATTATTACCAAAACTAAACTTTAAAAGCTATAGTTTTACTTTAATTTACAGTACAGTGTATATGTGCTCTCTCTTAATGTTAACACAAGCTCTCTGTAAACTGAACAGTCTCTTTGTTTTGGTGTTGAAATGTGCTGTTGCACATTGTAAAAACGCGCCTGTTCTTATTTTAATTCTGTGCTTTTAAGAAATCAATATTTCATCAAATTTTTGAAAAATTTCCATAGGAAATGTATGAATATACACGGCATTTTAAAATAAGTACAACAAATCCTGTTTAGGCTGTTTAAAAAGAGAAAGTAAAATTGTTGATATATAACGTCGTCTTTGTTTTTTTACATAAGACACTTGCTATTTCATAGGATGTGAATGCAGGATGAATATTTACCCACATTATATATAAAATTTTAATTTTATAATAGTGCTTTTTGTAAACAGATGAAGTTTTCATTATGTTAAATATTTTTATCAAATTGAAATATCATTTTCATTGTACTTATCTGCATATCTATGTAATGCCTCATGTTTCATTTGTAGTCAGCTGTTGCTATTTCTGTTGCAGAAATTTTGAAAAAGACATTCCATCAAAGAAATTTTTCAACATGATTGAAGACCAAGAGAATGAAGGAAAAAAAAGCATTGGACAAAATTATTGTGATCTTTTTGCCTTTGCCTGTGTGTTTACAAGTGCTTTATATTGTGATTTATTTCCGTCCATGAAGCCTTCTAATATGATGAAAAAATTTGTCTGAGAATATTCATGTATTGCACATTATCGCCTTTCTTTCTGATGTTTCTTCAATGACAGAATACCAACTGAAATTGCAGCCTTTTGAACTATTTTTGTTACTAATTTTGTGATATGACAATATATTATTTATTAGAATTGTTTTATTTTTTAATTATACTTATTGCAATTAAATAATTTTTTTTAAAAAGACATGACTTGTTTATTGAAATTGATAGATTATACATGTAACAGTGTTTGAACTTTACTATCTTGAACATCAATATCTCAAAAACCACGAATATATAAAGTAATTTGGAAGTCCCAACCACCTGAGGGAGAGGGCTAAAATAGGCCGAGCCTGCTTCCAAATCCTATTCACATTAACATCAGTGAATAAAATATTGTTAATTAAGTCCCAACCACTTATTACTTATGTATTTTACCTTTGATGTCAAATCCTCGGATATCTTGAGTTTTTGCTGGTCCCGTCGACTCATGATGGGGTTTTAATGTATTTCTCTTTTGTTGCCCTATATTTGTCATAGACCAGAAAATCGATCCATTTTCAAAAATGTAACCTCTCTCAGTTTTGGTTAGACTTTTATAAAACTTTGTTTATATATTCGAAGTCATATACTGAAATGCAGGGGATGGTGCCAGTTGATTAGGCTATTGGCTGCCTCAAGGCCCCCAGAGAATCCAGGACTTATACCTTTTTATACCCCCCGCAAATGAAGTTTGGGGGGGGGGGGGGTATATAGGAATCAGCTTGTCTGTCTGTCTGTGCAAACTTGTCCAGTCCATATCTTTCTTACGGAAGAACATTATAATCTACTACTCAACACAAAGATTGCACATGACCTAAGGGTGTGTCATGACCTTGACCCAGGTCATTTTGGGAAGTTCAAGGTCACTGGAAGAAAAAATTCATAATTCGTGTCCGGTCCATATCTTTCTTACGGATCAACTTGGTAGGTTCCTACTTCATACAAAGATTGCTCATAACCTAAGGGAGTGTCATGACCTTGACCCAAGGTCATTTGGGGAAGTTCAAGGTCACTGGAAGAAAAATTTCATAATTTGTGTCTGGTCTGTATATTTAGTCTATTTTTTTTATTAGGCTACGCCTTTGTTTCATTTATTAAAAATATTATGAGCAACAATTACATTTGCACTAAAAATGTTTTAGCATTTCTCTCTTCTCTTAGATTCTTAAATTATTCATGATTTAGGACCTCTGAAAAACCCAGTGGGGGGTATTTTGTCCCATTTGGACAGTTCTAGTTCTACATGGTCTCTGACCAATATAACATATCGGAATAATTGATTAACATGATTTAAGGGGGCCGACTATGGTTTTATTGCGTGAAAACTACAATAGCGAAACTCTTCATTTTTATACCATATATAACTGACATTAACTTTAGTGTACATGCAAGTTTGGTTGAAATTACCGTCCAGGTATTTTGGTTGAATACAGGTACATTTACTATAGGATTATATAGGAAAGTGCCCATTTTTAGCACTTTAAAGCAAATTATTCAAATATTACAATAGCGTTTTTGTTCAAACTATAATATATGATGAGTAATACTATCTTGTACATTATGTGTAAGAAACACAAAATTCTACCGTCTTGTTACCAGCGGGGGGCATCTCAAAAAGCCAAAAATTAACGAAATTTCCTGTTATTATAGAGTGCTACAATATATGACGCATGCATAGGATTTATACAAAAAATAATAAAATATGATGAAGAGATTATCAAATTCCTATGTAGTAAAGAGGGTGTTGCAGTTCCTTTGTTATTTTCCCTAAATTTGTAGCAGATCAAAAGAAGAATTTTTATGTTGCAGAAACGCATATTAATTTTTTTCAAATGCAACAATATATAAAGCTCAACGAGAAACAATATTTGGAAGCTGCGTATTGACTTCCAATTTGCCATTAAATGATGTGAAAATTAGTCACACGGCAAAATATATCTGATTTCCCATTTTTTAGGTAGGGAATCCCCATTGTTCTGAAAAACTGCCTCCTTGAAACAGAATAATTTTGATATATACACAAAGAGGAAGGAATTTTCTTCAAAACTGCCATCTCCGATTTTTGTTTCAAAGAGGCACATTTTTGAAAAACGCAAAAATTGAATAAAAATTATTCTCCAAACGAAATGCAAAATGTGTACATTAAATAACAATGGAGAAACATCGTGTCCGAAATGGTCTAGTGGATATGCTGGTGGGCTTCCAGCTAGTACTTTTACCAGAGAAAGGGTTCGAATCCTGGAATGGATCATTTTTGCATATTTTTTTTCCATATGTAATGGCAGTGCAATGAAATTATACATATTTTGAAAGAGAGAGAAGGGGGAGGGAGAGAATGTCAAGGAGTTAATTGAGTAATAACTATACATTAGAAATGCAAGATTAAATTGTTTTCCTTGATATGCTGTGACTTAAAACTAATGCTTTATTTAGTTTTGTCTTGGAAAATAAAGTTACTGTAATGTTTAAATAATTTATTTTTACATACTGTAGTTATCGCAATTTTGAATAATTCTGGTCTCTTACTTATAGTAGCCCAGATTTGTTTGTGTTTTGTTTATTTAGCAGGAAATACCCGCCGTAAACATAATCCTCTACGTAGCTGTATCTATATTTAGACATAACGAGGGTATTTAAATGTCCTTCTCGATATATAGGGAATAATCGCGAGTTTCTGCAACACCCTCTTTCAAGAGCGTATGTTTATTACTTTTTATTTAATAATATTTTTATTACTCCTTTCTTTAAGAGCTTCAGTTTATCATAACGTCAAAAACGCACTATAACGACGTCAACCTACCTATCAGTTGCAAAATCGGTTAAAAATTCAGTTACATAAAATTGTAATAACATTTTTTAACCTGTAATTGCTTAATTTTGTTTAATTTTATTAATCAAGTGAAAGAAGTTGCTTTAAAACAGTAAATACGCTTCATTTTACTATGATGAGCGAAACATTGCGCAATGAAAACTAGAGTCGGCCCCCTTAAGTGCAGGACTAAAATCTTTGATTTAAAAAATAATCAATATTTCAGAATATGCAACATCCAAATCACACAAGTTTATAATTTCTTATATTTGTTGAGGTGATCGAGCTGTGTAACCTTTGATTACCTACGTTTTTGCCTTGTTTCATTATCTTCCCAGTGTATGTTGAAAACTAATTCCCCCATCCAAACTATGTTCAAAGTTTGATTGAAATTAGCTTATTGGTACTGGAGATGAAGCAAAATGTGGAATTTTATCAGATGAACAAATGTTGATCACAATAGCTTTATATTTGAGATTTTGGCTCAGGTGAGGTAATAAAATGAAAGATCACAAAGATACTTGTACTGGTATTATCCACATTTATTTAGTTCCATGAGACTGTTTCCTTACCATTCAACTTGAGCTTCAAAGGAAATATTTCATTGAAAACATGAACATTGATTTACACCTGAAGATTTATCCAAAAGTACATCCTTAAACCTTTAGAATGCATTCAAGCAATGATAACATGAAAGAACCAGATCAAGGAAATGTACGTATTAAAATTTTGACAAGGAAATCTTTTTGCAATGAATAATTCTGATGTTTTCCAAAGCAATAAAATATGGCTAGAAGAAATGAATATAATTTATTAAAGTTCATTTTTGCTGATTAAAAAAAAAATCAGCTGTCCTTGCCAGGTTATGATTTGTTATACAATACATTTGACAAGGCTTAATTCTAATAACAGCAGCAAGCTGAACTTTTTTTTTTTAAGGATACACCAAAGGTTTCCAAAGGGCAAAATTTAATTTGCTTGTAATTCTTTTGTTAACAAAGATAACATATTAAAAGTATATATCATTTGAAAGCTTGTTAAATTTACAATCCTAATTTAAATTTTATTTCTATCTTATTAAAAAATTATAAATATTTTAATGTAAATATTAGTGCATTTATATTTTATAAATCAACTTTTTTGTATTCCACCTCTCAAAGTCAAAATTTTGCCTCAATGTAGATTAAAGATTGAACTTTAAACCCGTTTATCAGATTTTTGATAAATCTTCTTATTCAAAAGTTACATCCAGTTGTCTTTCAATGTCACCAATTTATGTGCCCAATGCTACGTTTCCCCCAATAATTCGAGAACTGAGCAAGATATCAAAAATCTGAGATACGGTTTTGTAAACACACATTTGAGACGCATTCTGGCTAGTTTTCAGAGAAATTGGTCAATAAATAAGGGAGCTGAATCCTTTGAAATAATACCACCAACTGTCTGATCTTACTTTACAGTAGAGGGCAAAAACCCATTACACAACAAAGTCTGCCAAAGCTAGAAATATATGACACCTTGGAGATTCAGCTTTGGATACCTGTCACTTATCCATATTTTATGCATATTCACAAGAATGGGAGGTTCTTTTCTTTATTTAGGTGCTTTAAATGAAGTAAAATAGGTTCAATTTGAATCAGAAAAAAAATGGCAAGAGCAAAGCTCCACCTCCTGTTTCATGGTCATTAGTGACCTGTTAGATCTCCTTCCCTAAATCTAGAGTCCCTGTAGTTTAATTACTGATAACCTCTGTGTGGCTAGTGAAAAAGAATTCCCCAAGTGGTCACAGTGATTTATTGCTCCTTTTAGTAGCAGCCAGTCACAGATCAAATCAGAAGCCTGGCATGTGTTAGTGTTTATGTTTGATTATTGTTAAATAATTAGAAAACCATTTGAAAATCAGCAAGAATTTTTCATGCATTATAAAGCAGTGATTAGCATTGTTTTCCTAGCCAAAAATCTCAAAATTGACGAAAATCTTGAAAAAAGCCTTTGGTGTATCCTTAAATGAAAAAAAAAAATACAATTTTTAAGATCATAATGCTGTACTATCTTGTCCTGGCTTTGCAGTCACTGATTCTATACTTTGTAATGCTGACTTTGAAGTTACTGATTCAGTATTTTCTAATGCTTTTTTGTGAAGAGCCTGAAGTCTCAATTTAAGGCTATCATCAATGGTGTAACTTGCAAAGCTCTGCTTTCTTTCTCTCTCCACAACTTCAATCACCGATTTATTCCAGCGACAAAAGAGTAATTTCAGCTGGAAACGGCACTCCTTGAAACGGAAAATGTATAGAAAGGGATTCACAAAACTGTTCAGCATGGAAGCCAGGGCAGATAAGGCTTTGATAATAAATACACCACGTGTTGTAACATGAGTAGACAAAAATAACTGGCAGATCATGTATGGTGTGTAGAGGACAGTAAAAAATATAGTTATGACTAGTATTTTCTTCAGAGTTATGGCCTGATAGTCCCAATGTTTCACTTTGAACTTCGACATTCCTGTGTGGGACATTTTTTGCATTTTCTTTTTCAGGTACACACACAACACAATCAGTATAATCACATTAATAATGATAATGACCACACGAATGGTTTGGCCGATCACGTTGGTTGTTCGAAGATCTTCTTCAAAGGCTTCTTCGCAGGAAAATCCTAGGGTCTCTAGTTTTTCATTTGAATACAGTAGGTACACGATGAACAAACTGAAAATCCAGATAGTGATGCACAGAGTGAAAATTTTGGATTTTGTAATAATCACTGTATAATGAATGGCATAGAAGATCATCAAACACCTGTCAATATTGAAGGCAGTAATGGTTAGGAATGAAGAAGTTCCCAGAATTTCCAACAGGTATTTGCGGACATTGCATTCTTTATACAACCAACTACGTGGAAAAAGCATGAAAAGTCCAATTCCTCCATCGGCGTAGGACATATTCAAAGTTAGCAATCGGATCTGGAATGGTAACTTGATACTCCGCCAAACAACAACAGTTCCAAGAATATTGGCCAAGAAAATAGGGATCCCAAATGCCAACAGCACACTATCTATCAACCCTGGTTTTGGTTGAAAGGGTAATTCATCTGTAACATTCGCATATATGAACATTGTTCAAGACATTCTTTGATGTCATTCAAGATTTCACCTTCCAGAATAAAACTTGCCATTTTGGTGTCCCATGCATATTTTCGTGTTCAGATGTGAGCTGTCAATTCTACCTGCAAGATAAAACAATTAACATAAATAATTTTATTAATCAATATCTATGCTTTATGCAGGTAGGGCATGTATGATCTCATCACCATCTGGTTACAATGTGGGAGGAATTTTCAGCATTGAACAAAATCAAATTAACCTTCCATTTCCTAATTCTAGAAACATTTTATGGCCAACCTGTATATTTTATCTAACTCCTAATCTCTCTAATTGTCTCTAAAGACCAATAAACTCACTAATTTAGATTTTTCTGCCTTATGACAAAAAATTCATAACGAAAGTTTACTGGTGTGTGTAGATGTCTTTAAAGGGTTAGATGGTGGATAAAATATACAGGTTATAGAATAGGTCTAAATAAGGTAGTGAAAGTTAGTTGATGGTACTGTGCTACAATTTGATTAAAATCATCTTTGTTGTATGCTCCAAACTTCTGATAGTTGCTGTAAAAAGATCCAGCTGGATCATGAAGCATCTTAAGCTTGCTCAAGTCAAAAAATATATGTAGTGCTGAAATTATTTAAAGTTAAGCATGCAGTCCAAAATGAAAATGCTTTTCAATTTTGTATCATCAATCTGCAGGGATGTGCAAATAGAGTTTCATTTAACTAGACTTACACATTTTATAGATGATTGAAATTTGACTAATTCTGTTTCATGATCTTTGTACAGCCACTATCAGAATATGATGTCATAGATAAGATTTTAATCTAAACATTAGTTGCTGTCCTTTAAAATAAGGACTGCAATACATGGACCATATGCATGTGTTTCTAACCAAAATTCAATTAGAGAAAAGTTCTATGCCTACTTTACTGTAGATTCCTAAATATACGCGTGTAATTAATTATAGCAAAATTTTGCGAGAAGCACCAAATGCGAAATAAAATTACTCGCCTTTATTTTTATGGTGCTGATCAAATGTCCATTTGTGCATTATTATTCTCGCGATTCGACATTGAAGAGCCCATTCACGATAATAACTATACTTGCGAAAAATAAGGTATCTACAGTAACTGATATATATGGCACGCCAAATTCACAAAAATGAGCAAATCATAGTTTCACAATCGATAAACTAGGTTTATCAGTTGTAAACTATAGTTTACGGACTGTAAACTATAGTTAACAACGTTAATCTATATTTTACATCTGTAAACTATAGTTAACGTGATAATCTATGTTTCACAACCGTAAACTATACTTAACAACGAAAAACTATCATTTGCGATTGCCATTTTATGATTTGTAGTTTCTTTGTGTCACGATTTGTAAAACTATGATTAACAACTCATAACTTGTGTGCTATAGTTTACAACTATGTTTATCAACAAAATCTATTGTTAAATCAAACTAGTTAACAACCGTTAAATATGTAGAAAAATACTTAACGAATCGTTAACTATAGAATCGTTAACTATAGTTTACGGTTTGTAAAATTTCACAGAAAACCTAGTTTATCAATTTTATTTTATCTCATTTTTGTGAATTTGGCATGCCATAGATAAAACATTCATAGCAAAATTGTTTTTATCTCCGATTAGCCTAAAGTTTTGTCTTTTTAAAAAAATTGATCAGGCTATTTTGATACATGTAACCCATAAAGGCTGGGACTTAACATCTGTTCTGGATTTAAACAGAAGATTTAATCTATCAGTGGAAAATAGATCTGATGGTACATCTGTAGCACAGCTCTGTAGTACGCAGATTTTTTTTTTCAGAGGTCCCCCTCCCCCACTGATGGAAAACCTTTGCTACAGGCATCTATCAAGATGTATTTAGATTGCTCTATATATCAAATAATTTGACGAGCCTTAATTGATGCTCAAAATTAATGCCTGTGAAGACTTGTTGTCTTGTTCTATCATTTTAATAAAAGCTAGAACTAGTTGAATGAAGTTTTTTTTTAAAATGCTTGTGCCATAGAATCAATGTTTAGTTTGTATATAAAAGTATATGTATGAGAGAGAAATTAGGATCCACAAATGAATATATAAATGAAATATACAGATTTCAAAAACTGCATAGCATAGGGGCATTAGGGTATGGGCAAGTTTAGGGGCAAACTTAAAGGAATTTCACAAAAAATTCTATTTTTAGTAACCATGGTATATATGCAATATTTGCATTACAGGATCTTTAGTGTTAAGTCAAACACTAAAATATAAACCACATTAATCACTACAGTTTCTGCAGCTTAGGACAATCAGAAAAGCACAGGAGCCTGAATTAGGTTCAGATGAGCTAAAAACAAAGCTTTTAAATTTTCATGGATGTTCCACCTATAATTATAATGTGCGAGGACTTTCTTTCTGAGACCCTGTTTGCCCCCCCCCCCCCAAATAATGCAATGGCATTTAAAGGCCTGTTACTTCAAAGCCACATTATACATTAAGACAGAAACTGTAATCTTAGGGCATTCTGAGCAGAAAGAAATGCACTAATGATCACTGACGTCATTTTAACCATGACGCCATAAAATGACACCTTGTTGAACTATTCCCCGTTATCGTTTCTGTGTGTACTCGTACCTTATTACAAATATTGAGTAAATTATGTAATAATGTTATACATGAAATTCTAATTGGACTTTTGGAAGTTGAATTTTTCGCGCGAAAATATAGATAGAAGTTTCCAAACTAAACAAAATCCTCGTGTCACCGATCATTTGTTTTCTTTCCCTTGTATATTTTTCATAAACAAATCAATTAAAACAAATCATAAGCTGTCTATAGGCATATTACGTACATTAAAGTGTATTCAAGTATTCAATATATACCTTGATGACATTGCTTCTTCGTTACTAACTTACTTGCAGTGGGGTTGAAATACCTCTGCTACAAATTCAGGAACAAGTCTTAGAATCTCGATCCCGATCTGGAAAATGTCAACAGTATTCCTGCATGTTGGACAGTGTGGTAACCAAGTCAGTTTGCCGTTTTGGAAGAGAACTGTAAGGGATGAAAATGTTAAAAACAGGTAAATTATATCATATTGTCAATTTAATCAGGTAATATGTTGATGTAAAGATTGGGGATGCCCAATATTATGATATGGGCATAAGGAGAACTGCTTATACAGAAACTAGAAGGAAAGGGTCTATTCTATTCTATTCTATATACATACATGTATGACAGTTGTGTATTCGTACAGGTATCAACAAAATAAATAATGACAATACATGTATAACTATATGTTATTCATGTACAATTTAAAGAGATGTGAGCCAATTTTTCTTATACATCTAAATTTTTTTTAATACAGTCGTACATTTCTCCATGCTGATGAATTGCAGAGATCTGTGCACATTGATAGTGAACCAAAAGTCATTGCAAAGATAGCTAAGACCAGTTCTGTGAGGTATGGGTGTTTATATTGTTTGCTTTTTGTAATCAATCAATGTTTTCTAATCTCCAACTACTTGTTACTTCTCAGTATATACATGTAGTTACTATTTTTTCCTGGGGCCCACTCGATTGGGACCCTTCTAGAAGCAGAGTGGAATGTCAGAAGGGTTGGAATATGTATGTCTAAATCGAGTGTTCAGAAGGATATTGAATATGATGGAATATCATCTGCAATGTTTTGAATTACTGCAGTAGTTGTTTTTTAAGAATTTGAATCCTTGAATTTAAAGCATTGAATGTTATAGTTGGAAAGGGAAACTTGAAGGGATAATTCGGAGTAAAAAAAAATTATTAAATATAATAATTTGGGGAACTTTTTATTTATGTAAAGAAAGGTTAAAACATCAAGTGCCTGAGGCAGAAGAATATTTACTACATGTATAAAAAATATTAAATTAATTATAGTCACATCAGGGACATATTTATGGCTCAAATCTTCACCCCATATTACATGAAAAATTATGAATCTGTGTTTGATGGTTGATTTTACTGCAATTACATAACAGAAAAAATGCTTCTTAACAGAATTACCCTTCATAAATTATAAAAGTACTTTTTTGTAATTGAATTTTGTTTTAAATTTGGTTTATTTACAATAATTAAAGCCTCCAAAGTTTTCACCCACCCGCCTGACGCTGTATTAGAATGCTATCCTTCCATCTCTGACGTGGAAGGTTGAGAAGGCCTTCTAAGTCTACCCTACCAAACCAATCGAGCAGTCAGAATGGTTATTCTGGAATAAGAAGGGTCCCAATCGAGTGGGCCCCAGTAGACCAGTGTCTGGTTTATTTGCTTATTTTTCAACAAAGTGTCAATTTATGGTGTCATGGTTAAAATAACATCCACGATCAAGTGCTATATATTTTTTCCCCAGTTCAGAATGCCCAAAGAGTGGAAGACTATACCATTTCTGTCTTAATGTCACACAGATTTATAAGTGTCACATGAAAAAGTAAAATGAACATGATGAAAGGTGCACAATGGCAATATGTAATAAAGAATCTGTGAAAGTTGTTAGTATTCAACGGTGTCAGAGGAGTCACAGATATAATCATATAATGTGGTAATTTGAAGTTGGAGGCATGTAAAGGCCATTGAATTACATGTATTTTTTTTGGTGGTGGGGGGGGCAGTGATGTGAACAATGCAAAATATATCTTGAGAAAAGCAAAAAACAAACAAAAATTTTATTTTACTAACTTCTTTGAGTTTAAGTTGCTATGTCATATTTCACATTCAGAAAATACATACATCATGTAATATTAAAACACTTACTTCCTTTCTTGTTCTGCATATTTTAAGTTTTCATAAAAAAATAGTAATTGAAGAAGAAAAATTCCTATAATGAAATAGTGCTTTATGATATATAGCAGAGAGTATTCAAGCTCCATTCAAATAATAAAAAACAGTAGTAGTGCAAGCATGGACCTTCAAAACATCAGAGGTGGGATCAGGTGCTATGGAGGAGTGAGCATCCCCTGCTGACAGATCACAGATGCCATGTTCTCCTTGTCATGATTGGGGAACATGGAAAAATACATAGATAATCAGTGTTTAAATAATATAATACTCACATGCTGCTTTGCTGAAGGCCTGTGTTGGATTTTTTTGTATCTCTTTCTTTACCATTCAATAATCTTGTAGATGAGGAAGTACACAGTGATGACAAGAAAACTTGTAGTTTTAAAAAAAATGCAAATTCATTCATTTTTTTTTTATTTGATAACATATCTCCTTTGTTTGAGGGCACAATAAAAATTCAGAACATCTTCACTTTTCCCATTTTCAGTAATTTGATCAGCTTAACCATAAATGCCTCATATGAAATAATCTTACATGTTTGCATGTATTAGAGGTCTTACATTGATATAGATAGACTCTAGACCAATATAGACTACTGTATAACCATGTGTCATCATGCAGGAAACACTAAATTTAGAAAGTCATCATATAAGGAAGAGAGTATAATTGTTATAAACATGCATATGCATGTATAATATTATACTGGTGAAGGGTTTTTGTGTCACACACAGGAAAAAGAACTTGGTGTGTGGAAAGAGAGGAAGAGGAACGAACTGGGCTTTAGGTACATGTATTTACTTTTCTAAAATGAAAGACATCAATCAAAAAGCAAAAAATTGGACAGATGTTGGAGAAATGTCACACTTTTAAAACAATCATTATAAAACTTTTCTCAAACAAGATTTTCTTTGTAATAACTCCAATTCTAAATCACTGCTTTCATTTATAAACAAGAACATGTTTTCTACTGCAAATCACTTTTTATTTGCGAGAACTTTATTTTTGCGTAATTACGCAAGACGGTATACTCACGAAAATTTCATTCTCGCATATAATAGAATTCCTTAAGATTATATAGAGCAATGACCATAATTCGTGAAAATTTTGTCTTGCTAATAAAGAGTCAATGTCTATCTCGCGAAAATAAGGTGTCGCAAAAATTAAGTGATCTACAGTATAGCGAATGTAACTGTCGCAAATTGCAGTAAAAATGTAGATCTCATGATTGCTGGTTATGTTATTTTTCTCTGCATTGAATGATTGCGACCATCATATATCCCTTATAACACAACAAAGAAAGGATCCTAAACTAATTACATGTACTTGGTAAAATATTACTGTAAAATCACATATTTTCATGGGGACAAATTTTTGTGGTTTGGGGAAAAACTCTTGGTTCCTGGGGATTTGATTTCGATGATAGAGAACGTTTTAGTAGTTATGTAGGTAACATTTTACATTTCGTGGTGGACATAAATTCATGGGTCTCTTCATACCACCTCGAAAAGAAGGAAAATTAAACCCCCACGAAAATTTGTGATTTCCCAGTATATTACATGTATCTCCCTTGATAGGTTACCATGGATTGCTGAAGAAAGGGGAGGATCATATAGTGGAGGATACAATGGAAATACTTAGGAAGGAGACAGAAAGGTGCACAGATTAGATCATTTTCTTTACAAAAAGTGTGTTAATAATTGTGGGAACTAGATCTCACAGAAAGAATTTAAACCATATGTTTTAACTTTTGTTGAATTATTACACAAATGAACACTTTGTGAAGTTTTGCCAAATACTGTGTTTATATCTCTAATTCTCTAACGATTTTTTTTTCACTTTCATTTAAATTATTTATAATCATGTATGTGATATATTTTTTTCATCATTCCATTCTGATTTTTGTTCCTTGTAATAGGTGTGATTCCTTCAGTGGATGTGTTTTGATGCACAGTTTGTCTGGAGGGACTGGTTCAGGTAGGCCATATATCTCAGGTACCAAACTTTAAATGCTAAGTAACCTCTTATGTTGAGAACATCAGAATATATTTACATTTCCAATGTCCTTGTCCGAGATAAAATTACAAAGTGTAAAAAGACTCTATTCCTACATAAATCACTGGTTCATCGATTGGCGTGTTTAAAAAATTATGTGCAGGGCAAGACAAATAGAGACAGAAGCGGGGCTTGTAGCATGTGAATTGGCGGAATTGAGAGCATGTAAATATAAGGAATAACAGTCAGATGTTTTGATTTCATGACGATGATCAATTGATTGGCTGGTGTGATGATTTCACGCCTTTAGCTAGTTTTGGAAAATTATCACGCAAGCCACTCGATTGATCACATCATGAAACAAAAATAATTTAGACAGTTATTCCTTTAAAGTAAACACTCCATGCAAAATTATAATTATACATGTATTTTATTTGATCAGACTAACTAGAATAACACATATCTTTATTGATCAAATTTTAAGTTTGTATTCAGCTTAAAATGATAGTTAGGAAACGCAATACTCTACGTTTTAAGGAAGCCAATCTGTTATTTTTTTGCCAGGTCTGGGATCGAGGCTGTGTGAGACAATACGAGATGAGTACCCCATGAGTCACCTTCTGTCCTGTTCCTTTGCCCCCTGTCAGAGTGGAGAGAGCCCTCTACAGCATTACAACTCCCTCCTAACCACAGCTTACTTAAACAGGTCAATTATTATATAAACTTGATATTTATTGCCATTAAATATATTGAGGTCTTTTGTCTATCAACATGATCAAGCCAGTATTGTTAGATATCAAAGTTGAAGCTGTGTCTTCACACAACAAGATAGCATTCTCTAATGTGAATATTATTCATATTTTTTTGTGTTTATGATGCTGAGCATTAAAAATGTGTAGAATTGTGTTTCTAAGGCCCATAACTCTTGCATCTCTGATTTTAGGTACACAGACTGTAATATCCTGACACACAATGACAACATCCTGGAGCGACTGCAGAAGAAGATGGAGACAGTGTCCTTTAACCAGATGAACGAGAACATTGCTGCTGCCCTCTGTGGGGTGTTTCTACCAACAGACACACTGACAACCAAGAGGTAGGATGTCTTGATAGATATTTAAATGAGGAAGTTTTGTATGAGAGGAAGAGTCGGGGTTGTTTATGAAGATTGATGTACCGGTAATAAGATAAGGAATTTATAATATACCAGTATGTGGTAGGTTAATTTCTATACTTGTGTGTGAGTCAGTTTTAATTTTATGAGCTGTTAAAACTTATCTTCTTGAAGGCACAATGTAATTTATTTAACTAAAAATTTGTGATTTACTTCCCTGTTTGATTTTATATGTATATGTGTTCACTAATACTCTAGTGGGGCAAGCATTGGAATGGAACCATGGGAAATGGTCAGATCTCTTTGCCCAAATCCTGGAAATAAAGTCATACAAATCAACCATATAGCTCGCAGGTAAGTTTGACCACTGTTGATTGAACTAAAATTGGAAGCATGAGGTACACTCTTGTATTCTTAAAAATCCCCTATTTACTAGAATTTGTTGATTATGTGAAAAATTCTGAGTTCTTCTATTGTTGTGATTTCAGTAAACTGAGTTGGGAGGCAATGATGGGTCAACTTCTGTTAGGTCTACATAGATATGACAGAGAGGGTAAACCTGTATCCTTTACGCGTATTACAAACACTGGTAGCAAAACAGTAAAACCTTTGAAGAAATTATGTTGATCTCCCATTAGTTTTTCAATTTCTTAACAAACTTAGTATAAAAGCCTTGCTAACCTTATTGTTGCCAGAGGAGACAGCACTGATAGCTTTCACTCGGCCATGAAAACCCTGGAGAAGAAAGTGAAAAATGCCTACAGTTGTGTCCCTTGGAATCCATTTCCACTGGACATATGGACACACAATTTTAATCTAGTCTCGTTTTCCCCAGACTCTCGCTCTCGAGACTTTGCCCGAGCGAGAGTCTGGTCTGATTCCTATTTAATTTTTGTAACCAGTAGAGAGGTCGCTAAACCGGCTAACAAGATGGCGACTCCCATGATAAATACATGTGAGAATTTACTTTTTCAACAAAGATATGTGCGTTTTTTGTTCCTTGTAAAGCAGACAGAGGTATTTTATTATAAAAGCAGATAAAAGTAAAGGCGCATCCTCTGACTTTTTAAAGAATACAGAACTTAGCATCGAAGAGAATGTATCAGCCAATGAAAATCCATACCGATTTCTCAGTAAGCCTCAATTTAAATTTACAAAAATTAAATAGGAATCAGACCAGACTCTAGCTCAGGCAAAGTCTCGAGAGCGAGAGTCTGGGGTAAACGAGACTAATTTTAATCTATACATTACATAAGAGTTGAATTGAAGAGTAGTGATAAGCTGATGAAAATTGACAGTATCCAGTAATAAAATTGAATTCATTCAAGTGTACATATGCATATCTGACGCAGCATTGTCATTTGTAAAGAACCAAGCCTTAATTCATACAGTGACCTTCATAGTTGTGGTTTATTATACATGTATAATGGTACTTATTTACATCACATGTATATTGTATATCGTTTCATTAGAATGACATTGTATATCATTTCATAAGAATTTTAACTTCTATTTGTAGCGAGGAACAACCTGACTGGCTCTAAATCAGCTTCTCTGACTGTGGCATCCAATAGCAGCTCTGTTACAGACTACCTAGAATTCCTCCTCTCCAGATCTCAGACAATGTACAAGGCAGGGGCTTACTTACACTGGTACTGGAGATATGGCGCAACAGAGGCAAGTCATGTCATATCAGCAAAAATTAAAACCATTATTAATATTAATAAGACAATTTTTTGGCACTTGCTTTCTTATAAAAATTTGTTGTCTGTCTTTTCAATTTTATGAGGATCTTTATATGCATGATTTAGATATTAAATAATAATTATATATTACATCAGTGAATCAAAATTTTGACTTCTAAAAATAAAAAGAAACATTTAAATCTGAAATTCAAATTTCGAATTTGTGATTGACAATTTTACCAATATATCTGTCACAAAAGTAAAATGCTTCACTCTGTATTGAAGGAGGATTTTAATGAAGCAATGGAAGAAATTTCCTCCATCATTGACAACTACAAAGAGGCAGTCAAGTAGTTATAATTCCATGGAAATCATACATGAATTGCCAATATGGTAGTGGCAGAGGGTTCCATACTAGAAGGTAATGTGTTATACATTGTACAGGCAAACATTGTTATCTCAAACTCAATGAAAACATGAAAAAACTTTGAGATATCTGAGACTTTGGGATATTGAGGTTAAAATACATAAAGAATAAGGGAATGGGACTTCAAAATTATCCATAGTATTTGAGATTTATCAATATTCAAGATAACAAAGTTCAACTCTTTCCTTTAATATCTTAGTAGAATAATGTTTGCATTGCTTTTAACTCATAGGTTGACTTTTTAGCTACCTCAACGAAGTTGGGGGAGCTTATGTTAAACCTTCGGCGTTGGCGTCCCATGTTAAGGTTAAGTTTTTTGGAGCAGTTTTCTTTTTAGGTTCTTCTATGTCCTATATTGATTAGACATGCATGGAAGATGTTTCTAGGTTTCTAGTGTATTTCATTGTACCAGTCAAAGTTTCAGTTGCTGCAATTTCAGCAAAGGAATGACCAGGTTAATGTTTTTGGAGCAGGTTAACATTTTTGGTGCAGTTTTTGGTGTAGGTCTCATTTCCGAGTAACTATAAGTCCTATGTTGACTAAACTTGCATGGATGATACATCTAAGGATGCAAACTACCAGGCTTGCTTCAGATGCTGAATCTGACCTACATTTTCCACATGAGTGAACAGGTTAATGTTTTTGGTGTAGGTCTAATTCCCCAAGTAACTATGAGCACTATAATGACCAAACTTGCATGGATGATACATCTAAGGATGCATACTACCAGACTTGCTTCGGATGCTGAATCTGACCTACATTTTCCACATAAGCAAACAGGTTAATTTTTTTGGTACTTGTTTCATTTCAATGATACTGTTAGCCCGATAATGACCAAACTTGCATGGATGGTACATCTTAGGATGCATACTACCAGACTTGCTTCGGATGCTGAATCTGACCTACATTTTCTGGTTGAGTGAACAGTTAAAGTTTTTGGTGCAGTTTTCATTTCCAAGTTACTATGAGCCCTATAATGACCAAATTTGCATGGATGGTACATCTTAGGAAGCATACCATCAGACTTGCTTAAGATGCTGAATCTGACCTACATTTTCCGGTTGAGTGAACAGGTTAAAAGTTTTTGGTGCAGTATTCATTAAAAATGATTTCCAAGTTACCATGAGCCCTATAATGACCAAACTTGCATGGATAATACATCTAAGGGTGCATTCTACCGGGCTGGTTTCGGATGCTGAATCTGACCTACATTTTCCGCATGAGTGAACAGGTTAAAGTTTTTGGTGCATGATTCTAATTTTAAGTAACTATGAGGTATTTAATGACCAAACTTGCATGGATGATACATCTAAGGATGCATTCTACCAGGCTGGCTTCAGATGCTGAATCTGACCTACATTTTCTGGATTAGTAAAAAGGTTAGTTTTTTATACAGGTTTCAGTTCCAAGTAACTTTGAGCCCTATGTTGAGCAAACTTGCATGGATGATACATCTTAGGATGCACACTATTGGACTTGCTTCAGATGCTGAATTCAACATACATTTTCCATATAATGGACCTGGTAAAAGTTATGAGTGCAGGTCTATTACCAAGAAACTTTAAGGCTTATATAAACCAAAGTTGCACAAATGATGCATCAAGGGATGAAAACTCCCAGACTTGCTTCAGATGCTGTATTTTAATTATGTTTTCATGATGAACTAGTTTGAAGTTTTTATATAGGTCTATTCCAAAATATCAGATAAAAATTGCATAAATTTTGCATTTTTGTTGGTTAATTGTGTGACTTTGCCTTACTTAAAGACAACATTCGTTGAGGTGAGCTCTGTAATCTCTGATTACCTATGTTTTAAAATTATCAAACTTCTTTTTTTAGTCCAAAGACTTGGAAGAACTGATTGGACCATAGTTCAAGAACTGGCACACACTCATTGAAAATATGAAGTCCTTTGTTTGTATCGATGGTGATACTGCTACCCGAAAACAAGCATAAACTGCAGTGTTGAGATAGAATAATGATGGAATCCCAGATTGTGTGAATTTACTATTGAACACTAATATTCTTGTTAAAAATTCTTTCCTTTACAGTCATAATGTCTTGGATGAATTTTTTTATCACGAACATTAAAATATCAAAATGATATTTGTTGTTGTTGTTTTTCATTTATGCATGAAGATAAAGCTAAGTTTAGTAAACACTCAATGTATATGTTTGACAGTACAAAATATGTTTTGATCTACATCATTTGAATGTAAATACAAAACTATGCCTTATTTTTGTTTTCAAGCAGCTTCAAACAGTAATGTTCCTTCCCTGGCTAACAACTTTGTGCAACTCCTTTCTTATATAATTGGCACAGAGTGCAAAACATGGACAAATTCAGTTACATAGCCAAGATAGAATACTGTGAAATCACTTATTTTTGTGGGGGTTTAATTTTCATTGTTTTGAGGTATGGAGAAGCCCACAAATTTATGACCACCATGAAATGTAAAATTTCATATGCATTAATTGCTAATTGACATATTCTGACCACAAAATCAAATCCCCACAAATCAATATTTTTTCCTCAAACCTCGAAAAATTGACCCCAGAAAAATGTGATTTTACAGTATTGCTCCTTGGTTCACATTACATCTAAAGACATACCAATTCCTCATCATTGGTGAATCTAAAATTCATAACGAAGAGATCTAGCTATTTCTAAATTCTTCAATGGTCTGGTTTTACTTTCACTTTACATTAATTTTGCCAGGTATTTTATGCAATCCCAACTTCTAAGGCCTTTATTACTCGAAGAAAAACAACATCAAATGGGTAACATACGTAAGCATCCATGAAAATTCCCCTTTATATGATCACTGAAATGTGATATATGTAGGAGGATCTTGTATCTGTGTATAGTTTGGGGTTGAACTTTATTGAGTGTAAGAATATCACCTAAAATATACCTCGGAAGGGACGCTTAACTCTGTCTAAATAGATACCTGTGTACTTTATTACACAGGAAGTGACACCATTTACATAAAAATTTTAACATCCATTGATGTAAAAACAGTTAAGGTTTTTTACAAGCTTATTGAAAAAGGCTGAGAAGTTGAGATTGGCATGTTACTGCGATTTCAAATATATTGTAGTAATTCTTTAAAAATAAAGGGTATTTCGCACTAATTTCTTCCCAGTTTTTCAATCAGTTAATCAATAATCTCTTAATTGAATATGGTACTGGTCCACATACCACACAGGCAGGTACAATGTAAGTCATGGCCCATATAGGAATACACCTGTAGAGGATGCATGATTAAAAACAACACTGAACTTCTAAACTGATTTTTCTCTCTCCTCAATTTATTCAAAATCAACATTTTCTATAAATTTTATTATCTTTCTATATCTAAAATATTCAGCAACTTCAACTTTCAATCAAGTACACATAATACCATCAGGTACGTTACAGTGTAAAACACTTCTTGATCATTGCATCACCTGCAATATCCAGCTATAAAAACTGACTTTTCACATGATGGGTAGGTTCACAGGTCATTGACATGTATGTATACCCAATCTCTGGTCGGTAAAACTGGCATCCTGTCATTTTTATTACTGAGCTGCCTATTTCATCTTCACAAATATCACAGACTGCCTTAATTATGAGTCACTTTCTTCATCTTCTAAAATATCACAGACCACCTTAATCATGAGTCACTTTCATTAGTAATATTTACTCTTCCTTTCCAGTTTGCCCATCTTTGGTATAAAATGTCCATTCACCTATCTTAGGCACTTTTAAATCTAATTTGTCAATAATCCAGCTGCAAAAGAAACAACATTTAATTAAGCTTTAATGAAAGTGTGATGTGGTTAAAATAGGAAAATATGAATCAGACAAGAGGCCCACAGGCCTTATAGGTCACCTGAGTATCGTGCAACAACTTTCAAACAATTAAAATTGGTTCGTGTTTTAAAGCAGAGGCCATGAAATTCACAATTCACAATTTTGAAAGAGGCACCATTGCTTATCATAATTATAAACTTAGCATGCTTACTCTATTTACCTAATACCCAGATGTAGATCAGAGAAACAAAGAGAAAATGCACTTCCACTTTACCACTTTACCACCAGTTGTGCACCTCACCCCAAAGGAACCACTGACCCTGGGGCCACATACTTCAAAATTTTGCAAATTTTATCATAAAATGGTTGATTAATACTAAAGAGCAGATTTCAAAGCATTAATTTATTTTCAGACTATGCCCCCCCCCCCCCCGACCCAGGGGGCATAAAAAATAACCATTTTGCTAGATGCACCTTTCTTCATCATAAATATATGCGTGTATATACTTGGATCATTGGCATAAAACCCAGGAGCAAAGGAAAAGATTTTCAAAAAATTAATGCATTTTCACTATATAATCAATAGAGCCCCACCCTAATACCAGAACCCCTTGATCCTGGGGCCATAAAATTCACAATTTTGAGAGAGGCACTCTTTCTTAACATAACTATGAACTTAATTAGTTTATTAAATACCCAGAAGTAGAGTAAAAGATTTTCAAAGAATTAATGCATTTTCACTATCTGATCAATAGAGCCCAGCCCTAACACCAGAACCCCTGACCCTGGGGCCATAAAATTCACAATTTTGAAGTGGCACTCTTGCTCATGATAACTATGTGTTTAGTTAGTTCATTTAATACCCAGAAGCAGAGAAGAAGATTTTCAAAGAATAAATGCATTTTCACTATAAGATCAATAGAGCCCTGCCCTAACACCAGAACCCCCCTGACCCTAGGGCCATAAAATTCACAATTTTGGAAGAGGCAGTCTTGCTCAACATAACTATGTGTTTAGTTAGTTCATTTAATACCCAGAAGCAGAGAAGAAGATTTTCAAAGAATAAATACATTTTCACTATATGATCAACAGAACCCCTGACCCTGGGGCCATAAAATTCATAATTTTGGAAGAGGCACTTTTGCTCAACATAACTATGTACTTAGTTAGTTTACTTAATACCCAAGAGCAGAGAATAAGTTTTTCAAAGAAATAATGCATTTTCACTATATAATCTACATAGCCCCACCCTAGCACAAAAACCACTGACCCTCGGGCCATGAATTTCACAATTTTGGTAGAGGACTCCATGCTTATTACATTCATGCCAACAGTTTGTCTGCTTCATGTCCAGGAGTAAAGAAGAAGATTTTTAAAGATTGCAATAATTTTGGTGGTTTTGGCCCCACCCCTCAGGCCCCAGGGGGGCGGGGACCATAAAATTCACAATTTTTGTTCCCCTTCACCCATAACTGCTGTATACCAAATTTGGTTGAAATTGGTTCAGTGGTTTCCTGAGTAAATCAGGTGACCTAAATAGGAAATTGCCAATGAATAAAGAAAAGTGTTGTGTGTAAAAGGAAATGGAAAGATTTGAGAAGCTTTTTTTCAAGTTGAACAATTTTTTTGCACAGAATTATGGATTATTAGCATACATGTATGAAGTTTGATCAAAATAACATGAATGGTTTCTTTAAAACTGAGCTAAACACAAATATAAGAAAAATCAAGTCATGGTCAATGGAAAGGTCAAGGTCAAACAATGTTGATGCAATTGCATAACTTACTTCAATATGTATAAAAAAATGAGCAAAATATCTATTCAAGAAAAATGGTAAAGGTCAAAGGAAAGGCCAAGCCGAATAAATAACCTACACTTACAGTCACATAAGGGATATTTAATACACTGTTTTTCCAGGCATATAATCTCAAATATTTGAGACTTATTTCTTTTTCATTGGCAATTTCTGGTTTTGAAAGTATAGATACTGTAGAAGTACTTTTTTCCGCGTAATATTAATTTATGCTATGTATGCGGTCACAAATTTTCCTTGGAAATTTGTCCAAGCGTACTTAAAATAAATGTAAGGCATATAGTGAGAATCTACAAAATCCGCGTAATTTTCTACCTGCGGATTAAACAGAAATTGAGATTCCGCGGAATTACACCCATTTACGTTACAGTATTTTTAAAGAAAGCAAATATGATACAGACTGTGGTATAAATTTCTTTTTAAGTATCATCCTCAGTGATATTGGTGCAAGTGTACTTTTTGTGTCTGACTTTACCAGGTAGCATGAGGAATGTACATGTAGTTAGTATATAACAAATCAGCTGATTTGATGAACAACTTACTCATCCTTCATGGAAGTTCTCTGCGACCATATCTGCATTGCTGCCTCTCCTTTGGGGCCATACAGAGGAACAGAAACCTGGATGAGGAGGAAAAAAAGAAATTTTACATTAAACTTTAATCAATTTATTTGAATCAACTCATGATGAATTTTACATCAAGTTTTGCAGGCTAATCTTTATCATGTAGAGTACATATACCGGTAATATCACAAGAAAAACAATTAAAGAGCATTCCAGATTCCATTGTAAAATTGTTTTACCAGTATATAACTTTAAATTTTTTTATGCTCCCTGTAATCAAAATTCAAGGGTATATAGTTTTTGCCCTGTCTGTCTGTCCATCTGTCTGACTGTCTGCAAAAACTTTAATTTGAGTGAGTGGGGCTAAGGCTTTCATATTTTATAGGACACGTGTATTCCTTGTGATAAGACCTCTCTTCGAGTACCACCAAATTTGACCTCTTGGCCTTGACCATAGGGTTTCTGCAGGGTTCTCCACAAGGGGTTTTACCATGGCGGCCCGCCATGGTTAAATTTATGTGCGCCATGGTTAAACAAGCTGCGCCATGGTTAAAATCGGCATCCGCCATGATTAAATTTTATTGCATTTCAGTCCCGACACCTACTTTTTTTTAATGATTTGAGTAGTTAATTGTGTTTATACTACGACTGCCTTGCACCTGGCATGCCTCGAAGGAAAGCAGACTGTGCTAAACAAACACGTCGTTAATCAGCTGTGAAGCGTGACAATCAATGGAGAGTCAATCAACTGATGGGATGATCAATATTTTGAGAGTTTATTATCCTGTATACATGTAAATAATTTTGGTGAACTTTTAATTCAACATGTTCACTACATGATTAGATGAACGGGTTAATAAAAGATGACAATTACGAGCTTGATAATCGTCATGCTGGCGATTCAATTTTCTGTGCCAAAAGAAAAAAATACACTGTAAAAATTTCATATTCCTCTGTATTTAATTAATATCCCATGCTTTGTTTTTAAGCTTTAACTTTATTATCTTTTAGATTAAATGTGCATAGGGCCTACGTCTCAATCCCCGTCTTGGTTTTAGTCTTACATGTAGTTTTAGAGTTACTTCCCGTTGTTATGAAACGTCGCGTGGCGCTATTTTTAGGACTGGGCACGGGTACAAGTAAATTCGGCACCTGGTGAATTCGGCACTCATAGGAAAAGTGAATTCGGCATCTAGTTAACTCGGCACCTGTTGAACTCGGCACCAGATTCTGGTAAATTCGGCACCAGATTCTGGTAAATTCGGCACCATTCTTTTACAAATCGACATATATATTACAATTTGAGTTTTTTTCTTAATATTTTTCTTGTGACTACTTTGTTGATTAATAAATTTGCCTTTTGATAAAGATTTATTTAACAGAAATACATGTATTTGACCTCTCTGAATTACAGATACCTTTTAGAAATTTCAATAATTCTGTAAATATTTTTTTATATTTTGATTGATAAATTTCTTGTTAATGCATTTTTTGGTGACTTTTCATTTACTGATTTAAAAAAAAAAATGATTAATTTCTTTTTTAACGGGATGATGCCCTTAAACGGGATGTTATTTTAATGGGATGATGCGTTAAAAATAAAACTGTTATGAAATAAAACTGGATAAAAATCACAAGCATATATAGTGTGAGTTGTCAGAAAATGAAGAGGGTATATAGTGAAAGATTCCATGCAGGTGCCAATATGTTACTTGTTCTGCATCACCTAAAGAAAACCAGCAATGTAAGGTATGTTGGAAAACATTTCACAATATTAAAAATACATGTGTATAATTTTGTTCTCTTAACGCATTTTTGAACTAAACAGTCTAAAATCGCTATTTACGAGAAAAGAGAGAGAGAGAGAGAGAGTTTCGCTCTCTAATAAATACTTTTCAAAGGAAATTACGGTCCTTCGTACAAGGAAGTTGCGGTCCTTAAAACTTTATGAATTCGTTTTTTATAAAGTCCTTTTTTCAATTAAGAATTTTGAATTTTAATTCGAACTGAAACGTACCGGTACATCATTTAATTGTTTTAATCAAATAATAGCTTATTTTTAATAAGTACAGACTATAACAAAAATTAAGAAGATCTTTCTATTTGTTTTTTTTTTCTTTCGCTGCGTCTTAACACTATTTAACTATAATTTGTTAAACTATTTAACGAGCCCCTATTCAACATTTATTTACTTCCGTAGCGACCACTCCCCAATAAGGAAAAAAACTTTAAATGTATTATAAATGTATTATACATATTTTTGTTATCATTATATTTTAACATTTTAGTGTAAGATAATTCATCATCTGTAATAATAATGTTTTACACTCGGTAATAAAATACATCTGGTCATTTAACATGTGCGTTTACAACCCAAATTACACGACCTCATGTAGATTCCTATACCAAGCCTGCTGCTTTGAGAAGTATTTTTATTGAAGTGAAATTATAATCATGATGTCAATTTCTTTTCATAGCGATTTATTGATCAATATGTGGAGCATGATGATCTGTCAAATATTTTTTCAAAGCCCGGAAAACTTGGAGAATAATATGGGCTAAAGCATAGACGATACATTGTATGTTCCTCAATATCAGAATATAATTTGCCAAGATTTTGTTTATCAAAAAAAAAAATAAATAAAGATAATAATAATAAATAAATAGATAAAAAATAAAAGTACCTTACCAGGCACTTGTATGATTAGGATTTTTTTTTTGCATAGTACATGTACCGGTAGTTATTGCAGTTGACCAAATGTTGTAATGTTTTATGAACACATGGTTAATTCAAATAATAAATCTTTAAAAAAAAACTTTGTACATTTATTTAAAAAATATTTGAGACTGTCTGTCCTTCTTAATTGTCCTCCTGGTGTTTTTCTTTGCATTGAATACAAATTCTTTGTTAAAATACTACAATGTATATGTATATCCTCTCTATATGCAGTTTTTCAAATTTTTCATTTGAACGTATGTTACACACATAGTATTTCATGTATATCTACACCCAATATCGTATTATTTTTTTTAGCTCAAAAACGCCTTATACGAGTATTATAGTTTAAAACACAAAACTCACTGGTAACGCAAATATTTTTTTATATAGAAAGCAGTTATGAAGATCGATGATATTATAAATATATTTCCTTACTACCATTTTTTATAGATCTGTTTCGGGTATTTTGTTACTTGCATGTTTTCTTTTATGGAAAACGTTTCGCTGCTCTGATATTTTAATCTTTTGACATTTAATATTTAGAGAAAGATTTTTAAAAGTCTAACTAGTGTGTAATAATCGCAAATCCTCAATTAATTCACCCCTTACATTAGAAAATTGAATAAATTGACAAGGTGCCGAATTAACTAGATGCCGAATATACCAGATGCCGAGTTTACTAGGTGCCGAATATACCTGGTGCCGAATTCACTTTACGTGGTGCCGAGTTCACCAGATGCCGAATATACCAGGTGCCGAGTTGACTAGAATTCCTGGGCACGTGGAGAAGTAAACAAAACTTGGCGATAAATGCAATATCTAGAAAAATAAAACGTTCAGAGAAAAGGGACACTGGTCCAAATGTTCCTTTGTGTGTTAACTTAAAAAAAAATACTACCCATTCATCAGTTTTAATCATATTGAAACAAAACGTTTAATACAACAGGCTACAATTCTTATAATTATTAATTTCTGAAAAATATTGCCATGGTTACTGGCTACCTGTATCAACAATTTTTCTTTAAATTCCTTCAAAAGGTTACTACAGTTTTGGGCAAATTTTGGTACAATTGTGAAGTAAGATACAGGATAAATCCTTTTCAATTTAATTATTATTTTTTTATCTTTAAAAAGTGTTAGTTATTTCATTGTTTTGTGTTGCAGTGGGTAAATTTAAAAATTGTAAAACCAATCATTGATTAATAAAGATTAAGAAGTCTAAGATGCATTCGTGTTTTTGGCCACATTTCGCCTTCGCGCAGCTTCCTCCATGGTTAAATTTTCAAATGTGGAGAACCCTGGGTTTGACCCACTTTTACCAAAAAAAAAAAAACATCCAAAACTTTAACCTTGACCATAAATTTTGAACAATTGGACATTTGGTGGTAGGGCTTTCATACTTCACATGTGTATTCATTGTGACAAGACCTTTCAAAATATAAATATTAATGACCTTGACCTTGGAGTTTGACTCCCTTTAAAAAATCTTTAAGCCAGGCCATAACGTTTGAATGGGTAGTACTAGGGCTTTCATATTACATGTATTCCTTGTGACAAGACCTAAATTCCTTTGGATTTTGACCTTAGAGTTTGACTTACATTTGAGAAACTCCAACCTTCACCATAAGCTGCCATACAGGGGCATCAGTGTTTTACAAACACATCTTGTTTAAGATTGAATGAGTAGGTTTTATCCATCTTAAAACATCTTCCTAGCTGCAGCTCTATAGCTGGCTAGTCTAAATAAAAAAATGAAAATGGATTCATTTTTTTTAAATTAAGAATGCTAGCTAGACTACAATTTACCATGTGCTATTTTAATTGAAAGGCTTTTCCAAAAAAAAAAAAAGTATTTTTCTCACACCTGTATGTTGTCATTACCCTAATCCCCCCCCCCCCCCCCAAAAAAAAAATAAAAACTACTACCCTTTCTAACTAATTGTTCAAGGAAGTTCTATGTCTACACTGTTATAACATCCATAGTCAAATTTCTGTGTGTTCAGGATGGTATACATAATGTAAAATAACTGACAAGCAAATAAGCATTCGATGACATGATATCAAAAAACACTTTAGCTGAGGGCAACCATGTATTATACAACACCTATCCTCGATAAATAACTAATCAGACAAAAATCATAGCAAGGTAACCGAAACAAATAATAAATGTTGACATGTAGAGGATAAAAAAAAACTTAACACAAGATTATGGTAAGTTTAGTTTAATTTTAAAAATGGCTGTGAATTACTTGGTTCACTTACTTATGAACCTTGAACCTTTGTCTGTAGGAGAAATCTGTTTTAGAAAAAGATATAATTACAATCTGAATTTCACAATATGCTGCTAATAACATGATAACATGTTGTTTTTTTTAAAACATTGGGCTCTTGGCAGGTTTGACCAGTTAACAGGGGATGCTAACTCCTCCTAGGCACCTGATCCCACTTGGGGTCCATGTTTAATGCCCCCTCTTCACATATTTCCCCTTTTACATTTTTTGATATACCAGGATATAGTACTGTAAGTGTACATAATTTGGCATATTCAAAATTTAACGTAATCACTAGGTACTGAGTGGTTGGCGTAATAATAAATTAGCGTATGTTCAGTGTATTATGTAAATGATTTCTTAGTGGTATTCATGAATTAGCACATTGTTGTCTGCATCAAAGCCGCTTAAATATGAAGCCCGATTTTTAAAGTAAACATACATTATTTCTGTAGAATATATTTTCTTTTGTATTTTTAGATACGGTTGTGGTTTTATGGGGTTGCCACAGCCTGTTTACTGGTTGCCCTTGCTCCATCCTCTACTGACCAACAGTCTGATCTGGCCACAGCTGGGCTCAGCGTTATAACAGCGTCCACTGCTTTTGCCTCATTGGGTTACATTGCTGTGTGTCTAACCGAATACTTTGCGGAAACTGGTAAGCAGGTAACTTTATATATAGGGAAATGGGGGAAGGGGCTAGGGTTGGGTTAGGGTGTCCATCTGTCTGTCTGAAGTTGTCCACCCTTTCGTCTGTCCATCCATACCCACACATCAACAAAATCATCTATACATGTACCAATGCATTAAATTCAATGAGACTATCATAGAGTCTTTATTACATACCAGTGGTACCACAGTGCATCCCCATTTTAAGTTTTGAATAGGCATTTATTTGCGGCTGTTACACAGGAAAAAAACGTGGACATTGACATTATCTCTATAAAGTCTAGGGAACCCATCTATTATCCACAAATCCTGAGTCCTCTTATACAGTAAAACTCGTTTATTACGAACAAGGATATAGCGAATTCACGGATATAGCGAAGTTTTTCTGGGTCCCCGGAAAAATTCTTAACAAATCTGTGTAAAATTTTACGATTATAACGAACTCTGATATAACGAATTTACGGATATAGCGAATAATTTTGAGTCCTGTTGAGGTTAAATACAATGAAATTCACATCTATTATAACGAAGTTTTAAAGATCTCAAAATTTGATAAACTGAACTGAATTTATTTCCTTTAAGCATTTGTATATAAAATTTAATTCATAATAAAACCTTAGTTGTAGAAGGTATGTTTTGTAATATTTGCTTTATATAATAATACTTGAAGGAAAACATTGCATATTGCGAATTCGCAATATATGGTTATACGAATTCGTTATACGGATATAACGAATTATGGATACAGCGAATTAAATTCACAGGTCCCCATGACTTCGCTATAACCGAGTTTTACTGTACCACTTAATAAAATGTAATGAGATTTTCCCACAAAGCTCTAGTGACCAGGTTTGTCTACTAGTGTTCTTTTTGCAGTTGTTGATTAAGCAGACTGCAAGTTAACTCCCTGATATACCTCAAATAAATTCTCACCATATCCAGAAACTTGACATATTTCTAAAGCTTCAAACATGCTTAACAGTACTCTCTGATGCCAATTTTTCTTACTTTAAAAATATAAATTCTAATTTATATACTGAATTGCTTTTGCCCATGTGAAACAATGTATGAATTAATAGACATAAAAAAGTAGAATGTACAACATGCAAAGAGGAAAATAATGGAACACTTGATAGTAATTCAGAAATGAATGGATTCAGCTTGTTGCAATAAATCTTCATGAGTTTAGAATTAATGTTGTGAAAATTGTGCATATGTTCGAATGCAAATTAAAGTTGGTTTACTGTATATTTATGTATTCTATGATTCAAGAAACAAAAAGCATATTCAAACTTGAAAGAATTGTGGTCCCCCACTTTTGGTGTCTTTGTGGGTGAGATATCATTTTTGGCATATTAATATGGCATTTTGTGTCAAAAATGACTGCCCTATCATATGTTTTCAGAAGTTATCACTAAAAAGTTGAATTTTTTAAAAATTAGGTCAATTATGAAGGTCAAGGAGTCAGAAATCAATGCATGCTCAGAAATATCTAGTCACTGGTAATGCACATTTCAAAGATGACGTCAGAGCCCTATCTCTTCTCAATTAGCAGCTGACTTATCAACATTTTTGAAAAGTAGGTCAAACTTCAAGGTCAAGGTCATGAGATCAAAAAATGATAGTGTGTTTTGAAAGGTCTTGTCACAGGCAATGAACAAATTTAATATGAAAGCCCTACCTCTTCTCGTTCAAAAGTCAAGACCAAGGTTAAAGTTTTTGTCATTGATGGACAGAACTACGGACTGACAGATCAATGAGATTTAGTGCCCCCCTGGCTTTCACGACAGAGGGTGTCAATAAGAGTGGAAAATCTCAAATGTAGAGTGTTAATGAACATGAGGTTTTAAAGTATATGTTATAACAGCTTCAAAAATTCCTTTTTTTCATAATTCCAGAGAGGGCTCGAGAATCCGGATTAAAAGATGGCAGGAAGGCGGGAAAAACGGATGGGGAAAATATGGGCCGTGCAGAGGGAATTCAGGAAGCTGAGAAAGAATGCACAAAAATGATTGCAGAGAAAAATGCCGAAATAAAAAAATGTTTACTAGAAGCTGAAGCAGTTAGAAAGGCTGTTTTAGACGAGGCACTGGCTGATCTCCAGGCCCAGATTGACGTAAATGTGCAAGGTCTTCAAGTGGATTTGGCAAACACCTTTGCTATCTGTGAGGATAGAGCCCCATGTAATTCAGATGCAAATGCCGCATGCATAAATGAAACTTTTGGTAGTACAACTTTATGTGTTCCCAAATTATTGGTGGAGTAAATATTACATAGCTATGGTCTTCAGCTTTGTTTTCATTTTATTTTTTTTTCCCATATAAAAGGATTCTGTGGAATTAAAAGCAAAATTGTTGCTTTTTTGTCCTAATATAAAATTTTAACTTTGGCCATAACTACTCGGCTGTGCAAAAAAAGTGTAAATTTAGTCTAAACTAGAGGTACTGTGAGCAATGAGCTGACTAAATGATACCCCCCGCCTCCCATATGAATATGAAAGGACTGTCAATCTTTTGTTGTGGGAAACCCAAAATATGTGTCAGATCGAAAAATAAAATAGGAGGTGCACAATGGTAATATGTATTATAATCATATAATGTAATAAAGATTCTGTGAAAGTTTCATCAAATTTTATTCAGTGGTACGGGAGGAGTTGCGGATAAGAGATGGGTACACCAAAGTGTAACAGACAGACGGACGGACGTACAGCTAGATGGATGTAGATAACGATTACTATATACCCTCCCGCTTTTCAAGGGAAGGGGGGGGTTATAAATATAATACATGTAGAAGGCATTCTTGATGAGAAGATTTTTGAAGTTTTTTCATATATATTTCAATGTAAAAAATTGATTTCCTATTGTAGCCCTGCCCTACCCTTCGGGTCATGATTTTAACATGCTTCCACGTAAGTTTCAGCTTTTCTGGCCCAATGGGTCTTCATCATCAGATTTTTAAATGACCTCAAATTTTTGGTGTTTTCTTGATTATCTCCCCTTGTAAGGGGACTAAGCCCTTCATTTTTACTCCCACTTACCCAAGGAAGCTTTGTACCAAGTTTGGTTAAAATTGGCCCTGTGGTTCTTGAGAAGTTGAAATGTGAAAAGTTTACAGACGGACAGACAGACGAAAGGATAACAGACAAAAGGTGATCATAAAAGCTCACTTGAGCTGAGCTTTCAGCTCAGGTGAGCAAAAAAGGTCTTGAAACAAATATTGTATATGAGTAATATGGAAACTCTACCTTTTTTGCATTCAAAAGATATGACCATAGTTAAAGTATTAGTGACAGACTAACATATGAATGAGATTTTTAATGACCACAGTGTATAACATTAAGCATAAGGTAAGACTTTGATAACCGCTATAATAGAATACAGCCCTTATAATATTCTATAAACAAAATGTGCTCATATGACACTTATGCCTCACACAGAGACCTGAGGGTAATGCATGTCATATACAAGTGGAACTTCAAAATCAAGAGAAACTAGAAAAATGTCCATAGGACATGAATGCCCCGCCAAGGATATATTAGTAAAGCAACATGAAAATTTGTATGTGTATAAAATTTGATCAGAATATCTTGAATAGTGAACTGCTTGTTTGGAAAATATAGGCCAGATCCAGCATCCGAAGCAAGTCTGGCAGTGTCCATCCCTAGATGCATCATCCATGCAAGTTTGGTTCAGGTAGGGCCTATAGTTACTTGGGAATGAAAATGTAGGTCAGATCCAGCATCCGAAGCAAGTCTGGTAGTGTCCATCCTTAGATGCATCAACCATGCAGGTTTGGTTTAGGAAGGGCTTATAGTTAATTGGGAATGAAAATATAGGTCAGATCTAGCATCCAAAGCAAGTCTGGTAGTGTCCATCCCTAGATGCATCATCCATGCAAGTTTGGTTCAGGTAGGGCCTATAGTTACTTGGGAATGAAAATGTAGGTCAGATCCAGCATCCGAAGCAAGTGTGGTAGTGTCCATCTCTAGATGCATCATCCATGAAAGTTTGGTCCAAGTAGGGCTTATAGTTCCTTAGGAATGGACCTGCTCCAAAAACTTTAACCTGGTCAATCATATGGAAAATGTAGGTCAGATCCAGCATCCGAAGCAAGTCTGGTAGTGTTCATCCGGAGATGCATCATCTGTGCAAGTTTGTATCAACATGTGAAGTTTGATAACACCATCTTGAATGGTATGTTTAAAACTGAGCTAAACACTAATTTAAGAAAAGTGAGGTCAAGGTCAAATGAAAGGTCAAGGTCAAAAAATGTTGATGCAGTTGCATAGTTCTCATCAATATCTATCAGCATATGAAGTTTGATGAAAATATATTGGATAGTTTCTTTGAAACTTAGCTTTGAACAGAGCTAAACACAAAGTGTGATGGAAGGACGGAAGACGGACATGACAAACACTATATGCCCCGGCCATGTTCATGGCGGGGCATAAAAAAATGTATTAAGGCCATAATAAATAAACTGCTAGATTCTCATCCGAATTTTTTTTAAAATCAAGGCGGGCGGGCGGCTTTCATTTTATATTTTTTATTTTTTCAATATTGCAGATTTTTTATTGACCTGGTCAATCGGTGTAATTTTATCTACAATACCCGAATAAAAGTAATAGTAAAGGTTCAATTATCTCTTACTTCGCATCATCACCAATCAATTTCAACCAATGACCCTTGTTTAAAATATATACGCATGTATTACAGCAATTACTATCTTTTCAGCTGTCAAAATACCGATCCCGATCAGAATTAAGACGAAGAAAAACAGCAATAAAAAAATCGAGGCCAAGGGGAAATAATCAGGGCGGGTGGGGATGAGAATCTAGGAATATTTTTATTGTGGCCTAATGGTACCAAAAGTATGTCTTGTCAGGAAAGCATGAGAGAACCCTTGCACCAAACGTTCAGTACCCTGGTACTTTGGCCAAGGTTAATGTTTTTCAAAAGCTGGTCAACTGTCAATGTCAACATGTTAAAATTATGGAAGTTCAAGGGAAGGTCTTGTTTTACAGAATACCAATGAGTGCATAAAGTGCCCCGCCACTGCATGATACGCCCGTCAAATATTGTTCAATAATCATAAATTGGTTAGGATGCAAGAAAATCAGGTAGCCTTGATTAACAGATTGACACAGATTTCAATGATTTAATTTCCATTTCTTATCATACATATCTAAGAGATGCAGTGTCGGGATTGATTATAACAAATACATCATATAACTCTAAACTGGTTGTGCTAGAGCATAACAAATATCCATCTGTAGCTTACTTAAACTTAAATTGTTTATTGCATATTTTATGAAATAATAGAAATGCTACAGTTTAATAAAAAAAATCAAACATAAATTATAATTTCTTCAGACTAAAAAATTCTAAGTGAGACATGACTGCAATATGTTGCAAATATATAAAAATTGAAATTTTCTTTTTTCAATGAACACATGTATAATTAGTTTTAATTATATTATACAATACTAATTTAGTTTTAATCATACACTAAAACATAAATTTGTTTTAATTAAATTACACCAATTGGAAGATCTTTATCTGGACTACAACTACATTCATGCCAAACAGCCCTTACAAAAATTACAGATGAATGGTTAAATGAAATGGACCAAGGTAAACTTGTTGGTACTGTTTTTCTTGATTTCAGTAAAGCTTTTGACCTTGTCAATCATGATATTCTACTTAAAAAACTACAATGTTATAACTTTGATGCAATAACTTTACAATGGTTCAGATCATATTTAAGTGAAAGACTTCAAAGTGTACATCTGTCCAACAAACATTCATCTTATCAGCAAGTCACAGCGGGAGTTCCACAGGGATCTATTCTAGGTCCTCTTCTGTTTTTATTTTACATTAATGATCTTCCCTTATGTATTACAAAATCCAAATTAGACTTATTTGCAGATGATGCCACTTTACATGCATCAAGTAAAGATTTTCAAACTATTGTAGATACATTATCAACGGATATAGCTTTTATAGAAAAATGGTGTTCTCAAAATCAAATGGTTCTAAATGCTACAAAAACTAAATGCATGTTAATTGGTACGCATCAAAAGAGATCAAATTTTTCTGAGCATGAAATTAATCTGTTTGTATCTAACAGAAAACTTGATATTGTATCAAATGAAAAAATTCTTGGAGTTTATTTAGATAATTCTTTACAATACAATGTACACATTGACCATGTTTGTAAAACACTGTCACGTAAAATTTCTGCCCTCCGTAGAATTAAAAAGTTTCTTCCTATCCAAACACGCAAGCTGTTTTACAATGCATATATTATGCCTTCAATTGATTATTGTTTAACTGTTTGGGGTAATACATCTCACTCAAATCTTGACAGAGTATATAAGCTTCAAAAACGTGCTGCAAGATGTATTTTAGATGCTCCTCCTGATGCGCCCTCACAACCTCTCTTTGAGAAACTTAAGATTGGCTCACAGTGTATGAGCAACTTATTGTAAATAAATATGTTTTGTTATATAAATCATTGTTCAACTCTCGCCCTACTTATCTAAACAGTATGTTTGACTTCCAGTGTAATAATCGATACAATCTTCGATCTGAATCTAATTTAGACCTCTGTGTACCATCTCATAAATGTAAACTGTTTGAGAACTCTTTTCAATACTCTGGTGCTATCTTATGGAATAATTTACCTGTACATATAAGAATGTCTCAAACACTCAATGCTTTCAAGCATCAAGTCAAAAAATTTGTAAAACAATGTAGAAATAGCTTATGATTATTTATTGATTTTGTATATTTATATATATGTATGTATGTATGTATGTATGTATGTATGTATGTATGTATGTATGTATGTATGTATGTATGTATGTATGTATGTATATTGATATTTTGTCTATAGAAGGCCCCGGGGAAGAATAGTGCATGCACTAATCGGGTTACCTTCTTTAAATAAAGAATTATTATTATTAAGGTCTTCCGTTTCAGACGGAAGACCTTATAGTGATTCTACTGTTTCTTTTTATTATTAAGGTCTTCCGTTTCAGACGGAAGACCTTATAGTGATTCTTCTGTTTTTTCTTTTTATTATTATTATTACTATTATTATTTTTTTTTTTTTTGCCTTTTTGTTTTGACGATTTCTCAGAGATGACTGGACGGATTCTCATGAAATTTTCAGGGATGATGGAGAATAAAAATATCTTTCAGATGCAGTTTTCAGTTTTTCAAAAGTCACTTCCGGTCGTCAGATATGTCCAATTTCCGCTTTTTTCAAAAAAGTTTTGT